GCTTTGTCAGTGGAATAAAAGTGATCCTCTTCCTTTAATTTCAACTAGAAAACCCCTAGTAAGGTCCTGGTCCTGCGTGGTTCACATGCCTAACCCTACGCCGACACGTGGCGCTTGTACTAGTACTAGCAGCCCTGCAAGAACACAGGTGGGAGCGGGAGCAGCTGTTATTCCCAGAAGGGAGGGAAACATATTCTCCCTAATCACTGACTGTAATGTCTCTAAAGAAGAGACATCATGCAAAGACATTTGTCTCTTGAGTTCTACTGCCAACTTCTTAGACTCTAGATTTGATTTATATATTGTCAATTTCCTGAGGACTATGAGACCGTCTCTTGTGTGTTCATAGTCCTCAAAGAAAAAGCAGGTTCCAAAGGCACCTTTGAGGAGTGAGGGTAGAAGCAGAGTGGAGACAGTGTGGAAAAGCAGTCTGGAGAACGGAGATTGAGTTTACCAGGAAACTGTAGGACTGCAAGAAAGTGCTGAGGTAGGTGCTATAAATTGAATGTCTGTGTCCCACCAAAATTCATGTTAAAACTGAATCCCCATTGTGATCGATTTAGTGTTGGGCCTTTGAGAGGTGATTGGAGCCCTGGCCAGTTTGGCTCAGCGGTTAGAGCGTCGGCCTGTGGTCCAGAGACACCCGGGTTCGGTTACCACTAAGGGCATGTACCTCAGTTGCAGTTTGTCCCAGGCTCTGGTTGGGTCGTGCGGGTGGCAACCATTCGATGTGTACCTTTCACGTCGATGTTTCTCTCCCTCCCTCCCTCTCTGAACAAAAAATGAAAAATGTCCTCGGGTGAGGATTCAAAAAAAAATGAGAGGTGATTGGAGTTAGTGCCTTTATAAAAAAAAAAAGATCTCAGGGAGTTCTCTTGCCCCTTCCTCCATGTGGGGACACAGCGCGTAGACGGCGGTCTATTGCCCCTTCCTCCATGTGGGGACACAGCAAGTAGACGGCGGTCTATTGCCCCTTCCTCCATGTGGGGACACAGCGCGTAGACAGCGGTCTATTGCCCCTTCCTCCATGTGGGGACACAGCAAGTAGACGGCGGTCTATTGCCCCTTCCTCCATGTGGGGACACAGCAAGTAGACGGCGGTCTATTGCCCCTTCCTCCATGTGGGGACACAGCAAGTAGACGGCGGTCTATTGCCCCTTCCTCCATGTGGGGACACAGCAAGTAGACAGCTGTCTATTGCCCCTTCCTCCATGTGGGGACACAGTGCGTAGACGGCGGTCTATTGCCCCTTCCTCCATGTGGGGACACAGCAAGTAGACGGCGGTCTATTGTCCCTTCCTCCATGTGGGGACACAGCAAGTAGACGGCTGTCTATTGCCCCTTCCTCCATGTGGGGACACAGCAAGTAGACGGCGGTCTATTGCCCCTTCCTCCATGTGGGGACACAGCAAGTAGACGGCGGTCTATTGTCCCTTCCTCCATGTGGGGACACAGCAAGTAGACAGCTGTCTATTGCCCCTTCCTCCATGTGGGGACACAGCAAGTAGACAGCTGTCTATGAACCAGGAAGTAAGGTTCACCAGACAGTGAATCTGTTAGCACCTTGACCTTGGACTTCCCAGCCTACGGAACTGTGAGAAATAGATGTCTTGTTTAAGCCACCTAGTTTTTTTTATAACAGCCTGCACGAACTAAGATAGTGGGTAATCATGAATTTATAGTAAATCCAATTTCTCTTGTATAATTTTTTTTCTCTAGAAGTAATTGGCTGCTGGGATGCAAATATGGAAAAACTGGATTGTTGGGTTCGTAATGGGTTGAGGAAATGTATACGTTTCTTGATTTGGGTAGTCCCACACTTATAAAGAAAACACTCTTACTCAAAAAGGACATAAATAAATGATGTAGCTATGATACATCATTTAGTATGTTTATTTCAACATACTAAACTAAAACAAACAAAAACAACTCATTTCTTTGGGAAAAGAAAACACACAAATTCTATATATGCAGGGTTGTCCTGACTGGCCATAATGTATTACAGCAAAAAATGACTTAGGTACACCACGCCTCATAAAGCTCTTAGTACACAGTAGATACCGCATTATGACCAGACATTTGGAAATCAAAACACAGTTGTAAAACAGAGTCAAATGCATGAGTTAAGAATTTTGTGAACTCAGAAAGACAGTTATGTTTTATCTGTATTTTTTTTTTTTTTAAATTATCCAACCTTCCATTTTCATTTGTATTTTCTTTAACAGAATTAAGCCTAAAATCTGATGGCTTAAATCCTTTCTTCCTAAAGCCTCAGAAATGTCAGATTCTCCTTCACACCTATAGGTGTCTAAAAAGGAGCTGACCACTTAAAAGAAAGATATGTAGAATTCACTTCTGTATCACTTATGCAGATTCTTCTGAGGACGAATCCCCACGTTGGCTACCAATTTACTCAACTTAGTTCAAAAACGTAAGACCTGATTAGAGGACCAAACTGACTCTCAAACAGCCCATCAGCAGCTTTCTTTATCACTGATAATCAGTTAGTGACATTTAGTCCTCAACTTAATTGCACAAATGCAATTTGGGAATTCTATATTTAAATGTGAAATTCAAGATTCTGATCATTAAATAATTTAGTTTTTAAATATGCAAGCTGTTTTTCTCAATAATCACTTTAATGAACAAATGAAAAACAAAATGGAAAAAGCAGAAAATTTGGATGTTCCAAAATGAGACAACTGTAAAAATTTCATCTATAAAGACATGACTGGGGTAAGGTTATACTGTAATAACTGTGTATTACTGTACATAATCGGACAGCAAAACAGCCCCGCCTGAAAGCACTGGATCAAACTGTCATCCTTCCAAGATACGACTCTAAAATGAAACCTTTTTAATAAATGCAATATATCATAGAACTACCAGTTTTTATATTCCCAAATAAACTTGACTTTAACTACTATATATAGCAATGATTTAAATATATGTGCTGCTAAAAAACTGTACACATACTCTGAATTTTTTCTTTACCTTCAAGATAACATTAAAAAGAAATTCCACAACTTCTTGATTTCTTAAAAACTAAGAACCAAATTACTAAACATAATAAATAAATATGCAACCTGGAGTCCTGGAAAAGGGTGTATAAAACAAAGAATAAGATACACTAGTGTAGCCCTGGCCGGTATGGCTCAGCGGTTGGAGCATCAACCTGTGGTCCAGAGAGACCCGGGTTTGGTTTCCGCTAAGGGCACGTACCTCGGTTGCAGTTTGTCCCCGGCCCTGGTTGGTCGTGCGGGTGGCAGCCACTCGATGTGTCCCTTTCACATCGATGTTTCTCTTCCTCTCTTTCCCTCCCACTCTGTCTGAACAAAAAATGTCCTCAGGTGAGGATAAAAAAAAATTTTTTTTAAAGATACACCTGTGTATTAAAAATCCCATTTCAGCCCTGGCCGGTTTTGCTCAGCGGTTAGAGCGTCGGCCTGCGGTCCTGAGAGACCCGGGTTCGGTTCCCGCTAAGGGCATGTACCTCGGTTGCAGTTTGTCCCCGGCCCTGGTCGGTTGTGCGGGTGGCAGCCACTCAATGTGTTCCTTTCACATCGATGTTTCTCTCTCTCTCTCTGTTCCTCTCTCTCCCTCCCACTCTACCTGAACAAAAAATGGAAAAATGTCCTCGGGTGAGGATAAAAAAAAAAAAAAAAATCCCATTTCAGTATTAACTCTTCATCTCAATACCGTTAGGTTTATTGCTACTATAAATAACCTTCATATTAAGGCACCTGTCATTACCTATGAGAAAAATTTGGATTCAAAACGAAGGAAATATGGACTGTAAATATGGACTATTGTTCTTTCATTCTGATGTCATTATAGATATTATCAATTTTAAATGTTAAGTTTTTGTATGGCAGAAAATATCTTTGAACATATTACCTAAATATAGTTAAAATGTTTATGATACTTTGATACTTTAATTAAGGTATATGGGGAAATAGGCAAAATCAAATCAAGATGGTTGACAAAGGACTAAATACAAGAAATATGATGACCTTTACAATAACTACATTGGAGGGATAGTGAATATGAATAGATCTTGGCCAGTCATTTAACTTCTCTGAGCCTCTTTCCATAGGTAAAATTTCAATATTAGCTGCTCTGTCAAGCTCATAACGCTGTTGCAAGATCGAATGAGGTGAAGTAAAAGCACTGGCAAACTATGAAGCACTGAACAAATAAACGGTATTATTGTAGGCCAATATTTCAAGTTTCTGATATTATTCTAACAAATAAGGTTATAGCCTTTTCCTTTTGCATCCACTTGGGAACTCTCTGTTTTAATCAATTAGATAGTTGCGGCATGAATGGAACAATTCATACAGGGGAAATCTCTGAATCGGAGCTTCCGGAATGTTACCAAGCAGTGCGCTGTGAGCGAGGACTCCCACTGCTTGCCGGTGGGGGCGGCAGGCTCCGGCTGCCTCTTGACGCTTCCCTACAGTAAGAGGGCAGCCTTCTCCGACAGCTCGGCTCCTGGCCTTTCCTCAGTCTCCTCTGCAGAAACCTCATGTCCCTCACCACCTGCTAGTGTGCGGCACGCACAGTTCCAGTAAAGAACTACATTTCACAACAGCATAAGAGAGTTACGAGAGTATTAAAGGAACACAGCTGAGCCCAATCACAGAACATTACTCAGCTTGGCACAAACTTGAAATGGTTTCATAACCCCCACCAGGTTCTCCCTGGCTCAGTCCACAAGCCCTTCTTCTACGTATAAAATGATTCTAGGCCACCTTTTTCCGAACTACGTTCTGAGGAACACTAGTCAGGGTAGATGTTAACAAATGAAAAACAGATCCGTGTTAAATAAATTTAGAATATGCAGGGGGAAATAATTTTTTTTTAAATCCTCACCAGAGGATATTTTTCCGTTTATCATCAGATAGAGTGGGAGGCAGGAAGAGATAAACACTGATGTGAGAGAGACACATAGACTGGTTGCCTCCCACATGACTCGCCAAGGCCAGGACGAACCGCAACTGAGGTACATGCCCTTGTCCGGACTCAAACCCACGACTCATTGGTCCATGGGCCAACATTCTAACCGCTGAGCCAAACTGGCCAGGGCTGTAGGGGGAAATAAATTTACACAGTACAGAATTTCTCAGTCTTTGATGTACTAAGTATACACTATAAAGAGGAATAGTTCCCAAACTCATTTGCCCATAGAATCCCTTTTCCCCACAAAATATCTAAAGGGGCTAATAGCTCTTAGAATACTCTTTGGGAAGTGCTATCCTAGCTAATTCACCTGGTTTTAAACATTCCAGGGTGATAACTGGCAATAGTTACCCTTTTTAATTTCTAAAGGAACAGAATCATTTTGCTCACAAAGCCAACTACCATGATAACCTCCTGGATTCCACTCCGTAAGTGTCCTTCCTGCACAGAGCAACCAAGAACTAAATTTCCTTTACTACATACTGAGGAATTCAAAGAAATTACTCTCAAATTAATGAGAATTATAATTTTTAGAAATCTTTATATCCCTCCTTAAACATTAAAATTATAAAGATCTAATTCTAGATCTTAGGATGTAGAATCACAATTACTTTGAGATGGGAACATTTTATCACAATATCACTGCAATTAACACTATTAATAATAACCAGTGGCAGTAACAGTAGCAGTGGTAGTGGTGGAGGTAGTACTGACTACACACTTATTTTGTCCCTTAACCCTCATGTCCACTCTGTGAATTTAGGACCTACTATTACAGTCATTCTAAAGATAAGTACACTGAGGTTAAGAGAGATTAATTGACTTGCCAAGTGTCACACAAAGTAGTAAAGACAGAATCTCAAACTCACAACTGACACCTCACGTCAAGCTCTTAATCACTTTATCTTGTATTAGCAACAAAACAAAAGCATTTAGATCATACTCTGATTGTTAAACTGGAAAATTAGTACATTCGTATAAATTGATTGATATTTAGTTTGGGATTTCCTTTTGAGCAAACTCCTATTTTCTCAAGGAGATACTTTTTAAGTTTTCGTTTGATTTTTTTAAGCAGAGAAAAATAGACTGTTATTTACCAATGACAGGTTTAGGTAAGGGAAGGGTTTCAAAAATCTGCATCCAAGGTGAAGACATTATCTGTGTTTTCCGCCATCACTGCAAAACGCTGATACTCTGAAACTCGTTTCTCAAAAAAATTTGTTTTCCCTTCTAAAGAAATGTTTTCCATAAAATCAAAGGGATTTTCTGCCTGAAAAATCTGGAGAAAAAAAAAAAAAAAGAAAAGAAAGAAATGTTACTAGATATTCTGAAGCAGCCAAATTATATCCCATAAGAAGAGCAACAGATAACTAACCAGAGCTCAGGTCTCCCAACAGCTATCTAGTCACCCTCAGGATCACACTATTCCCTAAGACCTGGAGGTGTTCAAAGCTGATACATTTTCAGATGACTAAGATCATCTACTAACCTCCTCAAGAAACTACTAGCATCTCTGGTATTCTAAGAAGTAGAAAAGGAAAAAACAAGATTTCTGGAAATAAAAGATTTAATACCAACCAACAAAAATGTTTTCACAGTTTGAGAAATTTAATACACCATAAATGTTATATGCTTTTTTTTTTTTTTTTTAATCCTCACTCAAGGGTATGTTTGTTGATGAAAGAGGGAGGAAAGGAGATGGGGAGGGAGGGGGGGAGAAAAGGGGGAGAGAGGTGGGGGGGAGAGAGTGGGGAGGGAGAGAGAGAGCGGGGAGGGAGAGAGAGAGAGAACACTGACTGGTTGCCTCCTGCATGTGCCCCAATCCTGCAACCTAGGTATGTACCCTGACTGGGAATCAAACCTGCAACCTTTTGGTTTATGGGATGATGCTCCAACCAATGAAGCCACACTGTCAGGGCTATTATAGGCATTTTCCACATGGTATTACCATTAAGTAGTCACCTATACATGATATTACAAAATATAAATTACCAACAATGTAGTATAGACCTAAATATTTCTTAGATTATAAAAGAACAGAAAACCACATCAGTTAAGAGACCATAATGAGGTAAGACAGAATAAATTCTATCCATAGTGACCCTTCCAAAAAAGTGAGGCATACGTTGACAGGAAGCTTTTTCATTGCTTCTTAATTTAAGAAGCAGACTTAGAGCTACAGCTTGGTGGAAACTGTGAAACATTTTAATGATTCATGAGGGGCAATAAAAGAGGATTTTTAAATTTAGGCGTATTCCAACAAAGATTATGAACAACACATATAAGAATACATTAAGCCCTGGCCAGTTTGGCTCAGCGGTTAGAGCGTTGGCCTGCGGTCTGGAGAGACCCGGGTTCGGTTCCCGCTAAGGGCATGTACTTCGGTTGCAGTTTGTCCCCGGCCCTGGTTGGTCGTGCGGGTGGCAACCACTCGATGTGTCCCTTTCACATCGATGTTTCTCACTCTCTCTCTCCCTTCCTCTCTCTCCCTCCCACTCGATCTGTACAAAAAATGGAAAAATATCCTCAGGTGAGGATGAAAAAAAAAAATAATAAAAAAAAAAGAATACATTAAAATAACCCAATTAAAAATGGGCAAAAAATCTGAGTAGACAAGTAGACATTTCTCTAAAATATACAAAAGGCACATGAAAAGATGCTCAAAATCATTATCCATTAGGTAAATACAAATCAAGACCACAATAAGATACCATTTCACATACATTAGGATGTTTAATGGAAGAACAATAACCACCAGATAACAAGCATTGGTGAAGATGTAGAAAAATTGGAATTCTCCTACACTGCTGGTATTAATGTAAAATGGTACAGTCACTTTAGAAAACGGTCTGAAAGTTCCTCTAATGATTATAAATAAAGTTAGTATATGACCCAGCAATTTCACTTCTAGATATGTATCCAAGAGAAATGAAAACATATGTCCACACAAAAAATTATACATGAATGTTCATAGCGGCCATTATTCATAATAGCCCCAAAGTGGAAACCTCTCAAATGTCTATCAACCAATAAATGGATAAATGAAATTTGGTGAAGCCATACAAAGAAATATTTGGCCATAAAATGGAATAAAGTACTGATACACGCTGTAACACAAATGAACCTTGAAAACATTATACTAAGAAGCCAAACACAAAAGACCATATGCTATTTGAAATGGGATACACAGAACAGGCAAATATAAAGAGACAGAAATTAGATTAGTGCTGCCTAGGGCTGAGCTGGGGGTGGGGGAAAGAAACAGATGTGACTGCTAATGGGTACAGTTTCTTTGTGGGGTGATAAAAATAATGCTCTAAACAGAAATTGCATAACTGTGAATATATTAAAAATCACTGAAGTATACATTTATTAACAGGTGAACTGCATGCTCTGTGATTTGTATCTGTGTGTGTGTGTGTGTGTGTGTGTGTTAATTCCAACAAAAGAGATCAGATGCTGGTGTGGCTGAGTGGAAGAATTCTGTGAAATTTTCCTGTCAGAAATACTGTTAGGAGGGAATGAAAATTTGAGCTATCACACACAGCAGGGTAAGTGGAAAGTGCCTTGGAACAAGTCGTAGAGTCACTGGATTTAAAAACTGGTGACCTGCCCTGGCCGGTTTGGTTCAGCAGTTAGAGCGTCGGCCTGCGGTCCTGAGAGACCAGGGTTCGGTTCCCGCTAAGGGCGCGTGCCTCAGTTGCGGTTTGTCCTCAGCCCTGGTCGGTTGTGCGGGTGGCAGCCACTCGATGTGTTCCTTTCACATCGATGTTTCTCTCTCTCTCTGTTCCTCTCTCTCCCTCCCACTCTACCTGAACAAAAAATGGAAAAATGTCCTCAGGTGAGGATAAAAAAAAAACAAAAAAAAAACAACTGGTGACCTTCCAAAAAAAAATCTCATCCCAATCATTCATGGCATGGACAAAGTAACAAAGACCAAAGTAAATTAAGTGGCTTGTTTTTGACACATTAAAGTACTCAGCTATTTATTGACTAATCCTAAACTAAAAGATGAAAACATCATCAATGTGGCTCCTAATTAGAATTCTGTATAAATGGCAACTATTTGCTAATTTAACTAATCTCTTATTTTACCAAAAAGTGTCATTATAAGAGTATTTCTTATAGCTCCTTGAGTTCATAGTTCATATATTTTAATTGTCTTATTTTCTTAATATACACATTCAAGGCTATAAATTTTCCTATAAGGATGTGTCTGGTTGAATTCTACCAGTCTTGATATACAGTGATCTTACTGCCATTTAGTTTATATTTTCATTTTTAATCTCATTTTAAAGGATATATTTTCAATAAGTAGATAATACTTTTGGGGTAATCTTTTATTGTGAATTTCTCATTTTAATGCATTAAAAACTAAGAGGTCTGTATAATTTCTGGTTTGGGGAATTTATTGAGATATGTTGAAGGCCTGTGAAAAATTATGTTTAACACTGTGTTTAGATTTTCTTCTGTAGAGGCATGTTTTATATGCCTATAGTTAGCACGTTCCCAAAGGGAAGACTAAATCCAGGGTTCATAGTTTTCCAATAAGGAGGAGAACATGGATGTGTGGGTGTGAGGATATGGTGGTGGGCTAAAGAACAGTGAGTTCACTCTTATTTATTTTATTTCACTTATTTATTTTATTTTATATTCTGATTTTAGAGAGAGAAGAAAGGAGAGGGGGGGAGAGAGAGAGATGGAAACATCGGTGACAGAGAATATAGATTGGCCGCCTCCTGCAGGTCTCCCATTGGGGATTGGCCCACAACCTGGCCATGTGCCCTGACTGGGAAATGAACCAGTGATCTGGTGCATGGGTTGACACTCAGCCACTGAGCCACACAAGCTGGGCGATAGTGACTTCACTTTAAAGGTTAAGTAAGCAAATTAATTTTCCTATAACAAACATATTGGTATAAATTTTTAATACACAGTTTAAAATTTAAGAGATCATATTATTACAACTGCAATCTCGATTTCTCTCATTAATTATTGACAAACATCGAAAGGATCTTGCAACTAAAATAATAAAATATAGCCCTAGCTGGTTTGCCTCAGTGGTTAGAGCATTGGCCAGTGGACCAAAGGTTGAGGGTTCAATTCCCAGCCACAAGCATGTACCTGAGTTACAGTATCGATCCCCAGCCCCAGTTGGGTTTGTGTAAGAAGCAACCAATCAATGTGTCTCTCTCACATCTCTCTCTTGACGTTTCTCTTTCCCTCTCCCTCTCTCCCCCTCCACTTCCTTCCCTTCCACTCTATTTAAAAATCAATGGAAAAGTATCCTCCAGTGAGGATTAACAAAAAATGATAATAAAATATAAATAGTTTATCTTACAAAAACCTTTCCTTCACCTGACTCATTCTTTACAGTATTTCTGTGGTTACCAGAATATAAAGGCACTACTAAGAAAGGCATTACCCCAGAATCATGGATTTCATAAGACTTCTCATTCAATACAATTTATTTATTTTTTTTAAAAAGTGTTATTGATTTTTATTTTATTATTAATTTTTGTTACAGATGTCTCTCCTTTTTTCCTCCCTCCCCGCCCTGTCCCCAGCTTTGTGGACCATATCCATTGTTCATGCATACATGCACGTAAGTTCTGTGGTTTATCTCTCCCCCACCACTCCCTCTTTTGGGGATTGTCAGTCTGTACCCCACTTCCGCGTCTCTGGGACTACCCCATTCCTCAGAATATAATGTTATGTTCATTACATTCCACAAATAAGTGAGATCATCTGATACTTGTCCTTCTCTGTTTGGCTTGTTTCACTTAGGATAATACTTTCCAGGTCCCTCCATGTCGTCTCAAAGGATAAGAGATCTTTCCTTCTTACAGCTGCGTAGTACTCCATTGTGTATATGTACCACTGCTTTTTTATCCATTCGTCTACTGATGGACACTTGGGCTGTTTCCAGATCTTAGCTAATGTAAATCGTGCTGCTACAAACATGGGGGTATATATATTCTTTCTGATTGGTGTTCCAGGCGTCTTAGGGTATATTCCTAGAAGTGGGATCACTGGGTCAAATGGAAGTTCAATTTTTAATTTTTTGAGGTAACACCATATTGTTTTCCATAGTGGCTGCACCAGTCTGCAGTGTACTAGAGTACCCTTTTCTCCACAACTTCGCCAACACTTGTTGTTTGATGATTTGTTGATGGTGGCCATTCTGACAGATGTGAGGTGGTACCTCACTGTTGTTTTAATTTGTATCTCTCTGATGATTAGTGATGTTGAGCATTTCTTCATATGTCTCTTGGCCATTTGTATGTCCTGTTTGGAGAGGTGTCTATTTAGTTCCTCTGCCCATTTTTTAATTGGGTTCTTTGTCTTCCTTTTGTTGAGTTGTATGAGCACTCTATATATATTGGAAATTAACCCCTTATCTGATATATCATTGGCAATTATGCTCTCCCATACAATGGGTTCATTCAATACAATTTAAACTTACATTTCCATACTAAAAAATCAAAACCTATAATTTTTAATTACCATGGTGTAGTACATAGTAAAGTTTTATGAATATTCCACTTAGGTTGAATGCAACATGACCACTTATGTGTGCATTTACTGTATGTCTGTCACTATTTTAAGTGCTTTAAGTTACTAATTCATCAACAATCCTTTGTGGTATTAGTATTATTATCCCCGCTTTACAAATGAGGAAACTGAGATAGAGTTTAAGCAACTTGCCTAAGGTCACATAGCTAGAAAGCGGTGGAACCAGGAGTCAAACTCAGGTAGTCTGGCTGTAGCTTCCATCTGCTAAGTCATGTGAAAATCACACCTCTTTATGAAACTCAGGTACATTATCTCTGATAAACAAAATGACAGAAATAACTTAAAGACAACTGAGTTCAAAGAGTCAAGTTATGACAGTTAATTCCTTCATAATAACTACTTCCTATTTAAAAGTATTAAACCAAAAATTACAAGGGCACATACCTGGGTTGCAGGTTTCATCCCTGGCCACAGCTGGGGTGCATGCAGGAGGCAACTGATCTACCATGTGTCTCTCTCACATCAATGTTTCCTTCTCTCTCTCTCTCTGTTTCTCTCTCTTCCCCCACCACACTCCCTCCCTTCCTTCCACTCTTTATAAAAAGCAATGGAAAAAATATCCTCCAGTGAGGATTAACAACAAAAAAAATTACAACAAAGACAAATGGAGATTATATGAGGATAAAACACATGTATATATATTAAATGCAATTACTTAAAAATAATCTGATTTTTAAATAGATACCTGCAATTATCACAAAGTAATTTATTGAGCTTCTTAGTTCTAAGATTTATCAGCTTCCTACTTCTGTTATGAATTTCATTTTAACTTTCAAAGGATTTTGCAAAGCCAATTTGTTCATGTAAAACAAAGCTCTGTTGTGGACATTTTAAAAGCATACTAGTATGTCACAAATGCTTTCAGTTTAAATATAATATTTTAGTGGCTTTACATAACAACAACATTTTAGCTTAGTAGTAATACATTTTAAAACACCTTACTTTTGAGAATCCAAGTTCCACAAATAATCTGTCAGCTACAAACTCAATATACTGTTTCATCAAAACACAATTCATTCCAATGAGGCCAACTGGCAAGGCTTCTGTTAAGAACTCCTGAGACAAAAATAAAAACAGAATACAGTACAAAGACAGAACAAGAAATAAGTATGTATCTTCCGAATAAAAAGACGGTTTAGTTTAATTAATCTTCTAAGTCACTATCTTGTCCAAGGAAAGTACACTAGGTTAAATTCTTTCAACGTGGCAAACAACGTCCATTTGTTTAGAAATGTTTGGGGTACTGTTCACATTATTTCATAATCCCAAATAGCCAAAAAAATTGAAACTAGTTATCAAATTACTGGTATTTTTATTTCTTTATTGATTTTAGAGAGGGTGGAAGGGAGGGAGAGGAAGGGGGAGAGTGAGCGAGAAACATCGATTTGTTCTCCTACTTATGGTTGATTCTTGTATGTGCCCTGACTGGGGATCAATAAGACCTACAACCTTGGCATATTGGGATGATGCTCCAACCAACTGACCCCTACCCGGCCAGGGCAAATTACTGGTATTTTCTTTAAAGTGGTACATGTAGGACTTGAATTCATATTCTTTCTCAAAAGAAAAAGGAGATACTTTGTTCTGAAGTATCTAGAAAAAGATTCACCAAAAATAGTCATCAAGGGGAACATGATTATGGAAGGGCATTGCAAAGGGAGAAAGCACAATTAACAAAGAAAATGAGAAAGAAACAAGATTGAATCTGAGGGTTGAGAAATAAACTGAACTCAAACTATACTAAAAGGCAGTGGTAAAGTGTTAATGGAAGAAAAATAAAAACATTAACCATTTGGATTTAGTTCTCAAAATGATTAAAGAAACCAAAACATATTTTATGCCTTTCCTCTTCCCAATATAAAAAGAATGGCTGCCTAACCATGCAGTATTTACAAAGTTTTAAAATTTGTTTTACCTGTAAACTAGTTTTTTCAAATGAACATATCCTAAGTGAAGCATCCAGATCTTTCTAGTAATAGATCATTACATGCTATGAATTAAATTTTACTATTCACTAATTCATTTATTTATTCATTCTATAAGCATCCAGTTCATGCTTCAAACCAGATACCCTGCTGGATTTTTGAGAACACAAAACAGACAAGAAACCACCACTGCCCTCTAGTAGATAACAATCTAAAAATATAAAGCGACTTCCGGTCAAGATGGTGGCGTAGGTAAACGCAGTATCATGTCCTCCCACAACCACATCAAAGTTACAACTAAATTACAGAACAACCATCACCCAAAATGCCTGAAATCCAGCTGAATGGAAGTCCTACAACTACAGAATTAAAGAAACAGCAGCCACATCGAGACTGGTAGGAGGGGCGGGGGCGGACAGGCTGGTCCCACACCCATGTGTGGTGGATAAAAATCAGGAGGACACCTCAGCTGGGAAGGTCCTCTTTGAGGATTGAGGGGTCCCCGTCCCACACCAGGTGCCCGCTTATGGTTCCAGTGCCAGGAACAGAAGTCCCCATAACTTCTGACTGGAAAAACCAGTGGGAACTGAGGCTCAGAGAGACAGGTGGCTGGAGCTCCAGGCAGTTCCTCTTAAAGGGCCCGCATACAGACTTATTGGACTCACTCCCTCTAAGCTTGGAGGGAAGGCAGCTCGAGGGGCGTCAGAGACACACAGGGAATAACTGAGCTGTTTGGCACTGGAGTGAAGGCTGAAGAGGGGGCTTTCTCCAGGACAAATGTGCTGTCAGAGGCCTTATTCCTTTGGTGAGCCCTTTCCTGGGGCAGCAGACAGAAGCCATATCTGGGACTCCAGCAACCTGGCTCACACTGGTTGCCCCACCCTGGTGATTCCCTGAGGCCCCGCCCCGCCCAACTTTCAGGCCCACCCAAGCTGTTGCCAGTTGCTTAACCATAGGATTGGCCTGTCTTGGATCCTGCTTCAGGTTTTTCCTAAATTCTTTCAAACAAGCAGCATCTGGTCTCAGCTAGCCCCATATCTCTCGTTAAGTAATACACAGAAACAAACACAGGGAGGGAGCCAAAATGAGGAGACAAAGAAACAGGTCCCAAATGAAAGAACAGAAAAAATCTCTAGGAAAAGAACTAAGGAAAATGGAGATAAGCAACCTAACAAATGCTGAGTTCAAAACACTGCTTATAAGGATGCTCAATGAACTTAGTGAGAACCTCAGTGAACTTAGTGAGGGCCTCAAGAGCATAAAAAAGGACCAGTCAGAAATGAAGGATGCACAGTCAGAAATGAAGGAGGCACTAACTGAAATAAAGAATAATTTACACAGATTCAATAGTAAAGTAGGTAAAGCCAAGAAGCAAACCATGGATTTAGAATATAAGAAGCAACAAACACCCAATCAGAACAGCAAAAAGAAAAAAGAAACCAAAAAAATGAGGACAGTGTAAGGAGCCTCTGGGAAAACTTCAAGCATGCCAACATTCACATCTTGGGGGTGCCAGAAGGAGAAGAGAGAGAATAAGAAATTGAAAACCTGTTTGAAACAATAATGGCAGAAAACTTTCCTAACTTGATGAAGGAAACAGGCATACAAGTCCAGGAAGCACAGAGCGTCCCAAACAAGATGAACCCCAAGAGGCCCACACCAAGATACATCATCATCAAAATGCAAAAGATTCAAGACAAAGAGAGAGTCTTAAAAGCAGAAAGAGAAAAGCAGTTAGTTACCTACAAGGGAGTTTCCATAAGGCTGTCAGCTGATTTCTCAAAAGAAACTTTGCAGGCCAGAAGGGAGTGGCAAGAAATATTCAGAGTGATGAAAAGCAAGAACCTACAACCAAGATTACTCTATCCTGCAAAGCTGTCATTTAGAATTTCAATGGCCATATAGTTTCCCAGACAAGAAAAAGAAAAAATTAAAGGAGTTCATCACCACCAAACTGTTATTATATGAAATGTTGAAGGGTCTTTTTGAAGAAAAAGTTAGATATGTATTCATTGCCATTTTGTTTGTTCATATATTTTATCGACAGTGGAATCTACAAACAAAATGAACAAGCAAAACAGAAACATTCTCATAGATACAGAGAACATTTTGTTGGTTGCCAGATGGGAGGAGGGTTGGGGGAATAGGTGAAAAAGGTGAAGGGATTAAGAAGAACAAATTGGTTGCTAGACTGACAAACCACAAAGAGAAGGGGGTTGGGGAGGTGGGAAGAAATAAACCAAAGAACTTATATGCACAACCAATGAACACAGACAACAGTGTGGGAAAAGGCAGGAGGGGGGTGGGAGTGGGGAGGAGGGGGGTCAGTGGGGGAAAAATGAGGAACATCTGTAATACATTCAACAATAAAGATAAAAAAAAAGCACATGGTAACATTAAAAAAATTTTTTTAAATTAAAAATAAAAATATAAAGCTAGAATAATTAAGACAGTTTGTTATGGCATAAAATTTGACAGGTCAATGAGACAGAAAAATCAGTCCTGAAACAGACTTTATATACATAAAACCTTAATATATAATACTTACTTATAAACCAAATTATAAACTGACATAATGATTATGATACATTATCTATTGGTACTGTCATATTGATCATATAAAATTGCTGATATTTATTTTGACCTACAAAATGGCAGTTTCATGTTAGTCAACCTAACAATATAATGGTATAAATTTCAGAGAGAGATGTGCTAATCATATAAGCTTCTCTGCTTACCTGCTCAATTTTAACAGCATCAACAATGATCTCCCTAACTCTTTTTTCTGAAGGTTTATTTACCAAGTATTGAAACATCAGGCAAGCAAAGTCACAGTGAAGCCCCTGAAACAGAAGAAAAATACCCATGTCAAAAAACATTTAATCAGCTATTTTCATGCAGTGATAGCCAGGCATCATATAGAGTAGGTTCTAGGAATGCAACACATAACCTCAGGAAGACAGAAGGAGTAAGAGGGCCAAGAATTTCTTTTCTTCAAATCTCATTAAAATGCAAATTATAATAACCTATAATGAAAAATGTTCAGTGCCAGCAAATCTTAGTTCATCAACATGAAAGAATAATTAATTAACAACAAAAATCTACAACCAAAAGTATTTTGGAAAGGAAAACAAAGCAAGAAGAGCCAAAATAAAAGTTCATTTTTAATGTCTAAAATAATTAAGAAATAATTGAAAAATAGTAAGTATTTAAAGAACAGATAAAACTCAAGAGATTTCAAAAAGGCATTTATATTAAGAATGGCTCGCCCTGGCCAGTTTGGCTCAGAGGTTACAGCATCAGCCTGCAGACCACAGAGTCCCAGGTTTGGTTCATGCTAGGGGCATGTACCTCAGATGCAGTTTGTCCCCAGCCCAGTTGGGGTTGTGTGGGTGGCAGCCAGTTGATGTGTCTCTCTCACATTGATGTTTCTCTCTCTCTCTCTCTTCCTCCCTCTCTCCCTCCCGCTCTATCTGAAGATAAATGCAAAAATGTCCTTCGGTGAAAATAAAAAAAAAGAATGGATCAAGATAAAAACTAATTCAATGCAATGAAAATGAAAACAGCCCTGGCCAGTTTGGCTCAGCGGTTAGAGCATCGGCCTGTAGTCCAGAAAGACCCTGGTTCGGTTCCCGCTAAGGGCATGTACCTCAGTTGCAGTTTGTCCCCGACCCTGGTTGGGTCGTGCGGGTGGCAACCACTCAATGTGTCCCTTTCACGTCGAAGTTTCTCTCTCTCCCTCCCACTCTATCTGAACAAAAAAACGAAAATATGTCCCCGGGTGAGGATTGAAAAAAAAGAAAATGAAAACTGAATAATTAAGCATACCATTTGAAGCTATATAAAGCAGATATCACATTGCAAATAACCAAAGAAAAAAATAAAGTTGTGAAAAGAACAGAATGGTTTTGCAAATACAAGAAATAGTATAGAATCTTAAATGGTTAAAGAACAGAGCAAGGAGATTCAACCTACAATAATTTAACACACAATAAAAACAGAACAGATGGTCTAAAGCTGAAAACAATAGAAGAAAATTTCAAAGTCAAAACAAAAAAAGAGAGCCTAGATATACAGAAAGATGATGGCATTCCAGAGACTGACACTAAGGCAGAGTCAACATTTCTAAACCACAAAGAAAAAGAAACAATTTTGTAAGCCACCAAGAGGTGAGGAAGAGGAAGGCACATGCACTTTAAAGGATTACAAATCAGTTTGCTTAGTTTTTTTTTTTAAATAAATCAACAAGTGAAAGATAAGACTCAAATCAAAGGTTCTATTCCAAATATTATTTACCTAATTAAATTGTCATTCCCAGAAGAAACCATCAGAAAAAGTGTTTGAACAGCTAATCTTAGAAATTTGCTAGTGAAACATTATTCCCAGACTTGTCAAATTATCAAAGGCTAAATTTTGAATATGTAAACTGCTAAAAGGTGTTAAAGAAAGTGCTGATTAGAACTGAAAGCTAGCTACCAATTACAGACATGAGTAAATCAAACATAGACACTTGTATTGCTAAATCAAGAATGAATAAAGTTAATTTTGAGGATTAAAGGAATTCCACTCAGAATCCGGAGATTGTTTTTAGTTAACAAATTAATCTGAGACTAGAACTTAATTATTCCGACTACTCGAAAGAAAGACTACTGTGAGAGAGGTGCCAATTATTGCTACAATGGCAATCATATCACAATATATAAATGTATCAAATTAGCATATACATTTTAAAATTACACCATATTATATATCAAATATATTTCAACTTTAAAAATTTAATTTGGAAGAATGGGCAGAATCTTGTAAGAATACTTTTAATAGGAAAATTATGAGATTTATCCTATTAATTATCAAAACATAAAGTACTACAATTAAAACAGTTTATTATGGCATGAAATTTGACAGATAAGTAATGAAAAAGAAAAAATAACCCTGAAACAGATTTTAGAATACTTAAAATCTTAACATATAATAAAGAAGGTATCACCCTGGCCAGTTTGACTCAGCAGTTAGAGCATCAGCACTGAATGATCATGGGTTCGATTCCCGGTCAAGGGCATGTGCTTGGGTTGCAGGTTCGATCCTCAACCCTGGTCAGGAGCAACCAATCAATGTCTCTCTTTCTCACATAGATGTTTCTCTCTCTCTCTCTCTCTCTCTCTCTCTCTCTCCCTCTCCTCCCTTCCACTCTATCAAAAAAAACAATGGAAAAATATCCTTGGGTAAGGATTAACAAAAAAATAGTAACAATAAAATAAAGAAGACATCACAAATCAATGGAGAAGGATCGATTACTTAAAGAATTGAAAAAAATTCCCAAGAGTGTGTAAAATAAAATTCTAACTTATCCTATACAATACTATATCTATACTAAGTTCAATACTTATACTAAACAAATTCCAATTGCATTAGAAAGTTAAATGTTAAAAAGTCAAGAAGAAAATATGTGCAATTATTTAACTCATCTCTCAAAATGGATTGATAAATTTGTTTTTTTGTGTGTTAAAAAACAAACAAAAGAAAAAAGAAAAACTGGGAAAGTATTTGCAATAAACATAACAAAATTAATATTTTATATTATATTTATGTAATAAACATTTAAAAAAATCATTAAAAAATACTTACTGAAAGAGCCTAGTCACTATGCATTGAAAATATATACCAACAGAAATAAAGACAAGAATACGTGAATACAGAAAAAAATACAAATGATTCATATCATTAATTTAAAAAATGTTCAATCTAAGTAGTAATCAAACGAATGCAAATAAAACCAATAATGAGATACCATTACCCTTATCAAATCTGTCAAATACTTAACACATAAATCCAAATTCTGGTAAGTGTATGGTAAGAAAAGACATGTTCATATATTGCTAGGTACAGCTGAATAGTGCTATAAAATTTCTGGGAGAAAATCTGCAAATAAGTATGAATGACCTTTAAAATATTCATACCTTATAATCTAGTAATTCTAATTCTAGGAAATCAGCTTAGAAAAATAATGTGAATTTGGGACAAATCTTACGTATAAAAATATGCATTTTGCATTATAGCAAAGCAAATAAAAAAATCTGAAAACAACCTGAATTTCTAATTATAGAATAGTCAAATAGTACTATTTATTAGATTATAGATCTAACAAAATTACTGTTTACAAAAATGCTTAAAGTTGTTGAAAAATGCTCACAATATTCTGTCTGCTAAGTGAAAAAAATAGCTTACAAAAATAGCAGAATATCTCAAATTATAAGATGTCTGTATCTATCTACATAGATTTAAATGTAGAAAATCACCTAGAAAGAAATACAATGAAATATTAAAAGTGGTTATCTGTGTGTTGACATTGAGTTTATTCTCATAATTCTCTATAATAATCATATATGATATTTATAATAAAAATTATTAGAAATTTAAGTGGATAAAACAACAAAAAGTAATTATACAAAACATTTGATGGCACTTAAAAAGTACTCACACATACTGTTTAATTGTATTTTAACGAAACCCTGTTAAGGTTTACAGTTAAAGATACTGGGGCTCAGAAAAGTTAGGTAACTTAACAAGGTCACTTAGAAATAAGCTGAGGAGCCAGGATTAATGTAGTCAATAAATGTGAACTGAACTGATGCAATGAATGAGCTGATGACTGAGAACCGAAAGATAAATGACAAGGTTTCTGCACTCAAGGAGCTAAAGTCCAGCAGAAGAGAGAGAAAAGAATTATAATATACATTAGGGACTGTAAGATAGGGACAAGTTCCAGTTTCAAAGAGATACATAAAGGAAAGAGTGGTCAATTTTACCTAACTGGGTCAGGAAAGTTTTGAGTTGTGACTTGTAAGAAGTTAATCAACAAATTAAAAAATTGGTAGGAAAGATGGAAAGATTTAGTTGTTGTCTGGGTGTGTGTGAAAAAGAAACCATCTAAAATGAGTCTCAGGCCCAGTCAGTGTGGCTCAGTGGTTGAGCGTCGACCCATGGACCAAGAGGTCATTGGTTCAATTCCTGGTCAGGGCACATGCCTGGGTTGTAGGCTTGATCCCCAGTAGAGGTTGTGCAGGAGGCAGCCAATTGATGTTTCTCTCTCATCGTTGTTTCTATCTCTCTGTCCCTCTCCCTTCCTCTCTAAAAAATCAATAAAACATATAAAAAAATAAAAATGAGTCCCAGATTGCAAATTTAAATAATTTAAATAATTGGATGGAAGTTAGCGACCCTCAATAAGATAGGGAAAACAAGAATAAATCTTGGGAGAAGGATGATGAGTTTGATTTCACCTTCCAGGAGAAACCATTTAACATGCACTCGAATACACAGGATTGGAGCTCAGAAAAGAATATATGGGGTAATGATAAAGTTTTGGTTGTTATGACCGTCTGGGTGGTAGCTGATTCCATGGGAATAAATAAGATCAGCCAGGAGGTCATGTACAGTGAAAGAGAGAGGCCACAATGGGAACCAGGATACAATATTTAAGGATAAGCAGAGGAGACTGAGAAGAAACAGTAAGAGGCAGAAGGACAGCAGTGTCTTAAAAGCCAAAGAAGAAATTACTTCTTATTTCCTTTTAATTACCAGAATCCTTGGGTCACCATAGCATTTTCCAGGGGAAAGAAAAATAAATGAACACCAAATATGAATACAAATATAACTAGAAGAAATACTTCATTCCTTACTTCATCTCTGCTGATGAGTTCATTGGAAAAGGTGAGTCCAGGCATAAGACCTCTTTTCTTTAACCAGAATATAGCAGCAAAGGATCCCGAGAAGAAAATTCCTTCGACAGCAGCAAAAGCCACCACCCTTTCCCCTAGGAGGCAAAAATAGTTTCATTTTCTGAAATATCATATACTGCAGACATTTTTAAGCCACACACACACACACACACACACACACACACTTTTACATATTTTTGTATAACAATACCATAACTATTCTGCCCAGAAACAAAATCAACAAGTTAGTTCAATAGCCAAGAGTCTTCAAAGGAGGAAATCTACCACCTTTACCTGCTAAAGCAGAAAGGTGTGCCCTGGCCGGTTTGGCTCAGCGGTTAGAGCGTCGGCCTGCGGTCCTGAGAGACCTGGGTTCGGTTCCCGCTAAGGGCGCGTGCCTCGGTTGCAGTTTGTCCCCGGCCCTGGTCGGTCGTGCGGGTGGCAGCCACTCGATGTGTTCCTTTCACATGGATGTTTCTCTCTCTCTCTCTGTTCCTCTCTCTCCCTCCCACTCTACCTGAACAAAAAATGGAAAAATGTCCTCGGGTGAGGATAAAAAATAAAATAAAATAAATAAAGCAGAAAGGTGTGCCTACTTCAAATCCTATGCCAGACACTGAACTCTCCTCTAGGTCTTGGTATGTAGACAACGGAGAGCCTTTTATACTTAAAAAAAAAAAAAAAGGAAGAGATTTATCTGTGCACCACATGTGCCTGTGAGTACAGTGTGCGTGCGTGCATGTGTAAGTGTAGAGAATAGAAGATAGCTTTTATGAGAAATGTCTCTCTCTTTATGGTTGGGGGAAGGGAGGTCACTGAGGCTTATATTTTTAGAAACCTAAGGTATCTTACAGATTAGCTGTAAACATTTCAAAAATCCTTGCCCTGCATCTGTAATTACAGAAAAACAGATAAACCCAGCTGAAAATTAAAAATATATCTATTCAATAAAATGTCCCATCACATAAAAAAAATACTGTCTTCTGCTAAACATGTAAGGCCCAATTTCAAAGGTTACTACTCAAAGGTTAGGCAAGGATTCTGCAGAAGCCCGTCTCCTAAAATGTCTCTAGTGGCAGCATTATCTCTAGGGGATGATTATAGGTCTAACCCAAAAGAAGATCTTCTCAAGCCCCTTATGCCACCACACTGCATGCTCGGGAGAAATACTTATACATATGTCTGTCTAGAGAGAAAAGTTTGTTCTGGAGGACTGTGAAATAAAGGCAACCAAGGACTTAAATCAATTACAGACCATAGATGACATCGCAGTTTGCATCCTGGTACTTGTTGCGAGACCAAAAACACAATAGCAGGAACTTAATGTGTCCTGATCTGAATCAATGGAAACTATATAAGCACTAGATAATAAAATACATTATAGAAATTGCTAAAACTTTATGCAGAAATTGAATATTTATAACTTTCCAAACAAAGGTAATTATAATATTTAATTTCAAAAAGGATGACTAGGTTTAAATATTTTTGGTTGTTTTAAAATAATACTCTGGTGTGTCCTTGTTGTGTTCCCTGATTATCGTAAACAAACCAACCACATAGGTTATATCAAATACTTATCTATTATTGGCCCTAAACACCAGGAAAACTTTTATAATATTTTATTTTCATAGACACAGTTTAAAAAGTTACTTTGAAAAAACAGCAGAGGTAATATAAATAATACTTAAGCCCTGGCCAGTTTGGCTCAGTGGTTGGAGCGTTGGTCCATGGACCAATGAGTCATGGGTTCAATTCCCGTCAGGGGCACATACCTCGGTTGTAGTTCATCCCCAGCCCTGGTTGCGGTCGTGCGAGAGGGAACCAGTTAATGTTTCTCTCTCTCTCTCTCTCACACCCCCCTCTCTCCCTCCCTCCCACTCTATCTGAAGATAAATAGAATCTTCAGGTGAGGATCGAAAATAATAATAATAATAATAATAATAATAATAATAATAATAATACCTGAGTACATACTGTGTAGAAGGAATTACCAAAAGAAGACTCTTTAGTGTGGTATATATTAAATATACTAAAATTAAATCTTAAACTATATAATAATAATCATCACTATGCTCTGCTGACTCTTTTGAAAACAAAATGGCTCTTTAGTTATATTTTAAGATGGATATTTATCATTAGTTTAACATAGATTACTATATTTTCATTTTACTATTGAGATAATGAATAGTTATAATTGATTCATTTTTCATTGACATAAAAGTGAAGTCATGTGGACATTTATCTGTAAGGGAATGAGACTATAATTTGAATCAAACATTGGGACTAAAATTATTTTAACTATTCTGTGCATTCATGTGAATGCTAAAGAATGAAAATCCTAACAGACATAGTTATAGAAGGCTATTCTTTTTGGAAAGGATTAAAGGATTTTAAGGGGTACATTTTACAAATTTTCATGAATAGATGTGAACTAAAAAGAGATTTCCAAAACACTTCCTCTAAAAGCTATAATGAATATGAAGGCCTCATGATTTGTTTTGGAGATGAAAAAGTAGGATATATTTTTAACATGCATCTGACCTCTATGATGCAATGCACCAAGATTGTATAACTACGTGCTTTTTTATGTTTGAAATAAAATTTCATTACATATATTAAGGTCGAATCTATATATTAATGTTTTAAAGTTCTTTAAAGATTTTTTGTTTGGCCCTGGCCAGTTTGGCTCAGCAGTTAGAGCGTCGGCCCACAGACCAGAGAGTCCTGGGTTCAGTTCCCACTAAGGGCACATACCTCAGTTGCCCGGTTGGGGTCATGTGGGTGGCAACCAGTCATCACATCAATGCGCCCCCCCCCCACCCTGCTCTATCTGGGGGAGAAAAAAAAAGAGTTTTTGTTTGTTTGTTTTTTGTTAATCCTCACCTGAGGATATTTTTCCATTGATTTTTAGATAGAGTGGAAGGGGGTGGGGGGAGAAAGAGAGAGACAGAAACACTGATGTGAGAGAGACACATCAATTGGTTGCCTTCCAAAGCACCCTAACCGGGACCAGGGATTGAACCTGCAACCCAAGTACATGCCCATGACAGGAATCAAACCTGAGACCCCTCAGTCCTCAGGTAGACACTCTAACAACCAAGCCAAACCAGCCAGGGCTTTAAAGATATTTTTTAAATTAAGTAATTTATTTCAATTTTTAAAAAACTAAGCAGATATATAATTAAGAACTTTTAGCTTTGTGGGAATTGAATCTCTTTATAACATATCAATTTTCAAAGAAGCTAATGCTTTTTTAAAATTCTTAGGTTCACTTTAGCTAAATGTAAAGGATTACAAGAGTCTGGATATCAGGAAAGAACAGTTGCTCTACTGGGTCCTACTAAGTGCAGAAATCATCAAGGTCACCTAAAATACTAGCAAAGCCCTAAGCCAGCTTCATCAACCTAACGGTGCAGGTGGCACAATTAGTTTATAAAACTGCACTTCCCCAGCTGGTTAATGTGAAGTGCAGATGTTTGGTGAGGCATGGCAACATTTTCATGTCTTTTAGCTTCTCTCCTAAAGAGTAAAACCACCAATGTGTTTTTCAGTTTCTCCTTTTCCCACCACCCATTTCACATTACACTCCCCTACACCATTTTAGGCCATGTTCTTTCCTCTGAGACCCTGACTCAGAACCCTAAATGGTGTTTGCCTTGAGAGTAAGCAAGATGGAATATTTAAATGGAGCCCCTGATGTCACATGGTGACTGCCACCCTCCTCCGGTTTCTCTATTTCTAGGTTGCTTTCTTTGGTAGTGTCATGACATACACCATTTCTAGGAGCCTGTTCTTCATTTTTCATCAGTATGTAGACATCCTAATATTTTCAGTACATACTAAACACCTTAAAATTTCCCTTCTTTTTTCTCTAAAGCCAATGTTTCTCAAAAGGTGCCTTTCAAACCACTTGTGAGGGAATCAATTATGTATAAAATGCAGATTCCTCAGTCCCACCTGGGCCTCCTACATCACTCAGGTGAGGACCAGGACTCTGCAGGGTTTTTCCGCAAATTCTCGGGTGATTTTTACGCACATTGAGAATCACTGCTTTTCTCAGTCTCAAAATGAACTGAAAGGGACGCAAACATATGTGTTTTCCCGATATACTATAAACTTGCCGTACCTTACACTACATCACTGGTTCTCAATATGTGGTCCAGGGGTCACTGGAAATTCACAGACCAAGGAGGAGTGTGGGGTCAAAGCTATTTTCATAATAATACTAAGGCACTATTTATTTTTTTTACAACCATTCCTTCATGAGTGAATAGTGATGTTCTGCAGATGCTACAAGGCATTTCCATAATAATCTGAAAAGACTAGTAAAATACTCCTCCTTTTTCTAACTACATATCTGAATGAGGGTGGATTTTCTTTGTATATTTCAACTAAACCAACATTCTGCAACAAATTGAGTATAGAAGCAGATATAATTCAGCTGTCTTCTATTCAGTCAGATATTAAAAAGATTTGCAAAAATTAAAAACTGTGCCATTCTCAGTAATTGTTTTTGGAAAATATAGTGTTTTCCCATAAATAAAGGTTAAAAATCTAACAGGTTACTCTCATTTAAAAATGCATTGTAGTCCTGGCCGGTTTTGCTCAGTGGTTAGAGCATCAGCCCATGGACAGGAGAATCCCGGGTTTGGCTCCCGCTGAGGGCATGTGCCTCAGTTGCGGTTTGTCCTTGGCTGGGGTCCTGTGGGTGGCAGCCACTCGGTGTGTCTCTCTTACATGCATGTTTCTCTCTCTCTCTTCCTCTCTCTCTCTCCCATTTGCTCTGAGGATGAATGCAAGAATGTCCTCGGGTAAGGATAAAAAAATAAATAAATAGCCCTGGCCCGTTTGGCTCAACGGTTAGAGCGTCGGCCTGCGGTCCGGAGAGACCCGGGTTTGGTTCCCGCTAAAGGCATGTACCTTGGTTGCAGTTTGTCCCCAGCCCTGGTTGGGTCGTGTGGGTGGCAACCACTCAATGTGTCCCTTTCATGTTGATGTTTCTCTTTCTCTCTCTCTCTCTCTCTCTCTCTCTCCCTCCCTCCCTCCCACTCTATCTGAACAAAATATCGAAAAATGTCCTCGGGTGAGGATTAAAAAAAAAAAAAGAAGAAAAATAATAAGTAGATAGATAATAAATAACTAAATAAAAAATCGTAAATATGCTTTAAGTTTCTTGGTTTTAATTTCTAATATGGGAACATTAATAATCCACACACATAAAAGCACTTTGGAGTCTTCAATAGTTTTTAAGAGTACAAAGGAGTCCTGAAATCAAAAATTTTGAGACCTGCTTCCCCACATTTTGAATAAAACCAGAAAGTAAAGACCACCAATTATAAAGCAGATAAGTATGAGACCGATACTTAGAGCTATTCAAATTCATTGTCTGAGTATTTTAATGACATTTTTAAAAGAATTACTGAGCTACCCTGGCCAGTTTGGCTCAGCGGTTGGAGCATCGGCCTGCGGACCAGAGAGTCTCGGGTTCAGTTCTCACTAGGGGCATGTATCAAAAAAAAAAAAAAAGAGAGAGAGAGAGAGAGAGACATACCTTTAATGAAGTATAAGATATTCATTTTTAAAAAAAAGATTTATTTTACTGAGCAACTACTGTGTATAAGATATAATGTTAGCCTTGGCCGGTTTTGCTCAATGGTTAGAGCGCTGGCCCTCAGACCATGAGTCGCAGGTTTGATTCTGGTCAAGGGCACATACCTCGGTTGCGATTCGTCCCTGGCCCTAGGCAATCAGTCGATATGTCTCTCTCACATCAATGTTTCTCTCTCTCCCCACCTCTCTCCCTCCCTTCTACTCTATCTGATGATAAATAGAAAAATATCCTTGGGTGAGGATTAAAAAAAAGATATAATGTTAATCACTTCCTTAAAAAAAAGTTATTGGATCTCAACTCATCCAGAAGGGTGAAAAATAAGCCTGTTCTTGCAAACAGTTCCTTGCCCTAGTTGAGTGCACTAATCTTTAGTTTTTCAGAAACTACATATTTGTTCCCTGGATAATGTAAAGACCTTGACTCACTTTAAATTCCTAAAATAAACATTTCTGAAAGCATATATAAACTGTGGATTGCTTTAAGACTCTTGTCAGATTCTATGTGACTGCCTTATTTACCTGTTATTATACACTGACATCTTAACCTTTCAATTTTCGATTTATTAAATAGAATAGATACAGTTTTAGTTTATTTTAATCCTGGTTTCTAATTATTAGAAAGAATGACTATACTAAAGGTGCACATTGAGATTTTAAGAGTCACAGGTAAAATAGTATATCACGCAAGGCAAATGTGATATATATAAATTAAAGCTACATACCAAAAGTAGATTTTCTATCTGCTATCCATCGCAAGGCCCAGTCTGCTTTTTTCTTAACATATGGCATTGTTTCAATTGCATTAAATAAAAATTCCCTGTAAAAAAAAAAAGAATTAATGGCAAAGTTATTCACTTGTTTTTCTTTTTTAATCCTCACCTGAGGATATTTTTCCATTTAACTTCAGACAGAGTGGGAGGGAGGGAGAGTGGGGGAAAGAGAGAGAAACATCAATGTGAGAGAGACACTTCAAACCCGAGACTCATTGGTCCGAGGGCCGAAATTCTAATGGCTGAGCCAAACTGGCCAGGGCTCACTTGTTTTTCTTAATCAAAATAAATGTTCACTGGGCTTGACCGGTGTGGTTCAGCAGATTAAGCATTGTCCCATGGACTGAGAGGTCCCAGTTCGATTCCTGGTCAGGGCACTGCCAGGGTTTCAGGCTTGATCCCCAGTAGGGGGCGTGCAGGAGGCATCCGATCAATATTTCTCTCTCACACTGATGTTTCTATCTCTTTCTCCCTCTCTCTCTAAAAAAATTAATAAAACTATATTTTAAAAAAATAATAAAAATAAATGTTCACTGGTTAATCAGAGATAATTGTAACTCTATGGTCTATTGCCAGATCTGTAATTTTTCTGTATTTTTACATATCCATAAAATATAGAAATTAAAGTAAAACTCAAACTAATGGTTTGAATATGATCTGATACAAAACTGACTAAATTCAAATATTCAATTGCTAAACAGAATGTGCTCCACAAATTAACAGGTTCTATACAAGTTTCTTTTTTTTTTAATCCTCACCCAGGAATATTTTCCACTGATTTTTAGATAGAGTGGAAGGGAGGCAGGGAAGGAGGAGAGAGAAACATCAGTGTGAGAGACACACATTGATTGGCTGCCTCCCGAACAACGCCAACTGGGGCCAAGGATCAAACCTGCAACCAAGGTACATGCCCTTGACCGAGAATCAGACCCAAGGCTCTTCGGTCTGTGGGCCAACCCTCTAACCACTGAACCAAACTAGCCAGGGCTTTTTTTTTTTAACAAAACACATTATGGAGCAATAAAAAACATTATACTCCTAAACTTCTATATTTTAATAGTATATCCCTAACATTTAGTTCCAGTGTAAATTCTGCTCTTAACATAACCAAACAATATGATAAAACTTTGTAAATAAAATCCCAGCAGTGATACCTTTTCTTGGGATCTCTGATGTAAGTATCTATTAGCAAACTGTACATCTCTGAGTGAACATTCTCGATGAGAATTTGAAAGCCATAGAAACAGCGAGCTTCTGGAACCTGCACCTCCTGACTAAATCGCTCCACCTATGAAAATAAGGGAAACAAATATATCCAATTCTGTGGGTTCTCATTAAACACTAAATCAGAATCTGGACATCAGAACTATCACTTAAAAATTGACTGTCATGCCACAAACAGGTCAGAAAGATCTTATGGATTATTTTAAACAGTACCGTTTACTCATCAACTTTCCACAATAAATAAGTTGCATAATGTATTCTTGAGCAATTAAATAAATTGACCTATTAGGTGGAGATACTAACTATAGCACCAAATAAATTGTAGAATATCTACCAAAAATTAATTATTTCACTTTTGAGACTTGACCTTAAGTAATTGTTTCTCTGGCAGTAGGTAGTAGACCTACTGAAGCCCTTTCTAGTTCATGATGAAAGTTTCTATCTCTCTATTCTCTTTAACAAGAAAGCATGCCTCCTGGCCAAGCATAATACAAGTTTAAAAATGGGGAGCCAGAGGGTGGGGGGCAGTAGACAGGAAAAGATTAATCAAAGAACTTACATACATATATGCATAAGCAATGGACACAGACAATAGTGTGATGAAGGCCTGGGTTGGGGCAGGGGCTGGGAGGAGGGGGGTAAGGAGGGTGAATTGGGGGACATCTGTAATACTGTCAACAATAAAAAACATTTAAAAATAAAACAAAATATACTAGAAACTAAAAGAAAAAGAAGGGGAGCAGGGGAGCCAGAATCCAGAGCTCTATTACAAACCTCCATAAGGATTATGAAGGTGCAGGTTCTTTATTAGGATGCACATCTAAGGGTAAAAATCAAACTCATGTTTATGCATTTTAAACAATTTTGATTGTTATAATTGCTTGATAAAATGACATTTTGCTGGTCAAGTAGAAATGTATTCTTTCCTTTGACACTTGGTCAGAAAAACATATTCAAGAAATAAGCTTCATCTAGTTCATTTCCTAGACATAATTTTTTAGGTTCACTCTAATTATCTTACTGCTATTATCTTCATTTAACTGCCGAATGGGAACAAAAGTAAAATAAAACAAAAATCTTACCAAATTTTCATTCACAATTCCATCACTGGCTGCAAAAAAGGCTAAGATGTGAGAGATAAAATACTTTTCTTCTGATTTAAGTTTGTTCCAGTGAGGGAGATCCTTTGATAAGTCAACCTAAAATAAAAAGATTTTCAAAATTTTAACTCAAAGTTAAATTCTTCTCAAAAATGTTTAGAAAACTAACTTTGACCTCAAAGTTAAGGAGGGACATCTCATTAAGAGTAAAATGTTTAAAAAGGAGAAAATGTTAATATCAATGTTATAGACTGAATGTTTGTATTCCCTGTCCCCCCCCCCCCCAAATTCCTATGTTGAAACCTAATTTCCAAGGTGATGATGTTTGGAGGTGGGGCCTTTCGGGTGATTAGGTCATGAGAGTGGAGCCCTCCTGAGTGGGATTAGTGCCCTTATAAAAGAGGTCCAGAGAGCTCCACCACCCTTTCTGCCACGCGAAGACAAAGCTGTCTATAAGCCAGGAAGCAAGCCCTCCATAGATAGCAAATCTGCTGATGCCTTGATCTGAGAATTCCCAGCCTCCAGAACTATGAGAAATAAATTTATGTTGTTGATAAGCCATGCAGTCTATAGTATTATTATAGTAGCCTGAACCAAGACAATTATAAAGAAACACAATAAAATAAAAACATTATAAAGGAATCTATCTGCCAGTTAATTAAGAAGCTGGCCAGATGTACTTTCACAATATTAAAATTAACATAATCTATTCTTACCACAAAAAAGAAATGGTAATTATGTGTTTGGATATAGGTGTTAGCTAATGCTATGCTGGTAATCCTTTTTTTTTTTTTTAATGTGTGATATATGTATATAACTGTATCAAATCAGTATGTTGTATACCTTAAACTTACAACAATGTTATATATCAATTATATCAATAAAGTTGGGGGGAAAACATAATTTAGTGGCATTGGAACAAATGAGAAAGGCAAAAGGCAGGAGAGACTAGAAACTGGTCAAGAAGGAACTGAGGTGAATAAACTAATGACATTAAGCAGCCACTGCTTTAACATTGTATGTAATATGTAGCAAATTATATAACACTCTGGTGTTAAACAGATAATTAGGCACCTGTTAAGCAGTTTTTGAAAATGTTTATTAGAACTAGTCCTTGGAATTAATAGAGAGCTGCACTCTAGAGTTCGGTGGAATCTATTAACTCAAAAATAGTCTTTAAATATACCCTGCAGATACCATTTAATCTTAGAAAAATCTCTTAAGTATGTTTCACAGTAAACTCATAAACACTTGAAATATGTAATCATCCTTTGTCCTTCTTTTATTTATTCTACAAAACCCTAATCTCTTTGATCATTCTAAAAAGGATTGGTTCATTCTTTTAATCATTTGTGTTCTTTTCCTAAATCATTTTCCCCATTCCTTTATTCTTTCAATGCTTACTGAGCACCTACTATTCCTGAATGTAAGGGATTTTCTGCTTGGGGTGTTCTATTACCAAATGAGAAGTGGCTGTTGTTAGGTATTTTTATTTACTTGTAGCAAGTAAAGGAGATGGACTATCTACATTTAAAGCTCTGTCTCCTGAAAGGGAGGCTTAGCCATTGCTTACTTACACTATTTAGCTAACTAATTACACACTGATTTCTTCCTTGTAGTTGACTACACTTACCACATTGGGTTCCTGTCAAGCTCACCCTCTTTACAGCTGTGTCTGCAAAATACTGTGCTACATTTTACATTTAGCAAGAACAGCATTTAGTGAGAACTGCCCAGACCTTGAGACCCTTGACCTATCTAACACCACATGCCAGACACTGTGTTAAGCATTGGGGATACAATGAAGCAGGAAGGAGAAAATATTTGCAAGTATCTTTTAAAATATACAAGCTGCCCTGGCCGGTTTTGCTCAGTGGTTAGAGCGTCAGCTTGCGGTCCAGAGAGACCCGGGTTCAGTTCCTGCTAAGGGCATGGACCTCGGTTGCAGTTTGTCCCTGGCCCTGGTTGGGGTCGTCGTGTAGGAAGCAGCCACTCAATGTGTCCCTTTCACATCCATGTTTCTCTCTCTCTCCCTCCCACTCTACCTGAACAAAAATGGACAAATGTCCTCGGGTAAAGAAAAAATAAACTAATTAATTAATTAAAATTAAAATAAAATAAAATATACAAGCTAAAAATCAGGTCCTATATTATTTGAGCTCAACTGAGGCTTACCTGGAGGACATCTTCCTGGTTTTTATTTTTTTTCTTCCTGGTTTTTAGGTATTATATGCCTAATATTAAATTTTAATATTACAATATGCTCACTCTTACATATTAAACTTATCTCTTCAAACACTCAGCTTTCAAAAGGTCCTATAAATTTTATTTATAGCACATTGGTCATTGTCCATTCCGAACTTAAACCTTTCTGTCCAACTTTATCTTATTTGAGTAAATTTTCCAACTTATTACCTAAATATTGATTCCAAGCTACTAGTTATCAGAATTCTCTGAGTAGCTTTTAAAAAAATAAAAACAAATCCCAGAACTTTGTCTTTTGAATCAAGGTTTCGGATGATTAGCCACATTTAGGAATAAATCTAAAACACTGATAAAAACAATCATCTAAAGTTGATTAAATTATAATTTACATAATCTATTTAAATGAAAAATGTGGAACTAAATGTATTTGATTTCTCTTCAAAATATGTATTTGAATCTTCCTATAAGCTGCCTACAAAATACATACCAACCTGTATTTTATAGGGTGGGGAAAAAGTAGTTTTACAGTTATTCATACGGAAAAGAATACAATAATTAATAAATAACAATACAAAAATAAACTGTTTCACAAACTCACAACTGTAAACCTACTTTTTGCCCCACCCTGTATAATTTTTCAAATTAGTTTCTTCATCATAATACAATATATATTACATTTGCTAAAAGATGCATACAATTTTCAAATAAATTTCAAGAACCTCGAGCATTACAATTACCTTTTTAACACAATGAATAAAAAAGCCACCTGTATACTCCCTTTACTCTCTTAACTATATCTAACAAAAACTTTCTGAAAACCACAAACAGTTAGTGACAGTCAGGTGTGCCAAGCACTATGACCCAATTTGAAAATGCTGGGGTTGTGTTTTGTTTTGCTCTATATGTTAAATATAACAAAGGTGTTAACAATATAACAGTACAATATAACAAAGTTGGGTAAGTGAGTATAATTCATAACAGAAGCTTCAAAGATCAGTGCTTCTGATTTCTAGTGTCAATCTCCCCCATTATGTGTAAAATAATAGCTTACATTTATTTGGTGCTTGCTAAGTACCAAGTAACATTCTAAATATGGCATTATTCTCATTAATAAGATTTATCTCATTAATGCTAACAACCCAGGAAACCAGGTACTATTAGCACAATATACCAATGACGATACACAGAGAGGTTAAGCGACTTTTCTAGTTCCACAGCTAGTAAGTGGTAGACCCAGGATTTGTCTGCTCCTGAGCCCACATTCTTAACAGCATGCATTTACATGTACAGAATCACTCTCATGAAAAATAGACATATAGACCCAAATATATCTATCCAAACAAATATATAGCTATATAGATAAATACACACATATATACAGACAGCAAGAGTGCTATGCCGATATCATCCAGTATATTCAAAGACGAAGACAATGGCTATTTGTGTGGTAAGTTAAACTACAGACCAACCACCTGCATGACCAAATGTCCCTACTAAGCCAACAAGTATTTTCTAATTGGTTATGTTCAACACATTTCCGAGGTGGAAAATGCCACACTAACAGAAAGCATTCTACAGCTGTCTTGTCTGTTCGGCAGCTGTGCCAGGCTGAGGGCAGGACCAGACTGAGAAGAGCACTGTGAATTCTGAAGCGCGTGCCCTGCCTGGCGGTCAGACCCTTCGTGTGGCAGCTCCTTCTCTCAAGTCAAATAAGTTTTCACCTGAAAGCAGGGTCCCGAAGGCTTTCAATTCCATTCTTGCCTAAAGCTGCAATTTTATGTATTCTGCTGATCACAAGTAAAGACTAGTTTGATCACAGCCAATCAAAAGTCTGCTTAAAAAATAGAAAATGTCCTAAAATATATTGAAAGTAAAAATGTGGAAGCCGCCCTGGCCAGTTTGCTCAGCGGTTAGAGTGTCGGCCTGCCGTCTGGAGAGTCCCAGGTTCAGTTCCCGCTAAGGGCACGTACCTCGGTTGCAGTTTGTCCCCGGCCCTGGTTGGGTTGTGTGGGTGGCAACCACTCGATGTGTCCTTTTCACATCGATGTTTCCCTCTCTCTCTCTCTCTCCCCCTCCCACTCTATCTGAACAAAATATCGAAAAATGTCCTCGGGCAAGGATTAAAAAAAAAAAAAAATGTGGAAGCCTAAGATGCCATTTTTGCAGTAGGAAAAATGTTTATAGACATTAGTCCAAACACCAAACACTGTATTTAATCACAGTAATTTCAAACATTATCTTATACAAGTGATCTTTCAATATATTTTACAATGTAAGTTAAAATTTTTCAATGTCCTGCCCAGCCAGTGCAGCTCAGTGGCTGAGTGTCGACCCATGCACCAAGAGGTCGCCAATTCGATTCCTGGTCACGGCACATGCCCAGGTTGTGGGCCAAATCCCCAGTGGGGGGCATGCAGGAGGCAGCCAATTGATGTTCTCTCTCATCAATGTTTGTCTCTCTCTCTCCCTTTAAAAATCAATAAAAAATATAAAAATATTTGTTTTTCCAATTTTTTCCCAATGTCCTGTAACAGAAGATATGAACACTACAACAAAGAATGTGATTGTGGGTAAAGGTGATGCCTCTTACCTCTTCTGCTGTCCAGAAGGATGCCTGTGCCTGTTTATACATCTTCCAAATGTCAGGGTACTGGATTGGAAAGATGACAAATCGGCGAGAACTCTTCCTTAGGAGTGGTTCTTCATTTGATTTTGCTTCATTTTCATTGGTATCTGATGATAACCTCTTTGAAAATTAAAATACAAACACCCATTTTATATCGACATTTCCTCTTTATTCACTTCTAAACTCACATCTGGGGGAGTTAGGGAAACATTATAAGTTTGGGAGCCAGTCTGTTTGGGTTGAATCCTTACTGTCATTTAGTAGCTGGTTAATAGTGTTTGGTTAGTTGTGTAATCGTAGCAAGTTGCTTAACTTCTTTGAGCCTTGGTTTCCTCATGGGTAAAATAACAGCTACCTCATAGGTGATCATTCAATTAATTTTGATGATTAAAAGTGCTTTAAACAGAACCTGGTGCATAGTAAGCACTGAACAAAAGTATGTATTGTCATTAATGCTACTTTGAGGATAAGCACAAAACTATACCCATAAATGTGACAGTGAGAAAATTTGTGAACAAAAAGTTCCTTTTGTTTCTCTCTGAGATAGAATACTGGCACAAATAGGCTACGGTTATACATTTGTTTTGTTTTGTTTAGTGTAATGTTTTCTAATCTTAACTGCAATATAATACTTACCTGAAAACTCTGTACAAACAGAGGCTTTGTTTGTCTGAAGCTGACCATATACCAATTTGTTATTGCTATTTACATGTTAACATTACTGCATATGGCCTCACTGTGGCTGTCTCAAAGCTTTGTGGAATTAAGTGAGAAACACATATCTACATACATACTACTTGGAAACATGATGGCACTCTCACAGGGGACAGTGCCATGTTTTTTTAAATAGTAAGAGTATCAGAAGAGTTGTGTGTGCATGAGAATGAGTATATACAAAGTATATACAAATAAACTAAAATGTATATATCAAGATTTTTGGAATACATTTCAATTCTGGACTCCTAACTCAAACTGCCCACCTTCTGTGCTAGGCCTGTCCAATGCGTTCCTGCATCCTTACCATTGCCTCCACCAATCCTCATACCTCTCCAAATAAAGTGTGCTTACACGGATGAGGCTAAGAGGCAAGACCAGATGACAGAAAGGCCCACAAGCAAAGCCTGAGGCTACAAACACAGGTGGGGCTTACACATTTCACACATGCTGCCACTGTAGCATAGACTGTCTTATTTGGTAACTACTTATTTGAAGGTGTGAGCTTCCCCAGATAGAGCACTTAAGCCCCCAAGTGTAGAACCTAGTTTTTATTTATTGTGATGTTTCCTGAGTACCGTTTCAAGCATTACATTAATGAGTATTAGCTAAGAAAGTGAATGAATGGGCTGCTAATTTCTCTTTATCCTGGACTCAGATTACTGCATACCATTAGAATTTTTAAATTTAACATAAGGCTACAATACATCAGTGAAATAATCTAATGACCACTCAAATCAAACTTTCTCTGAGTCCTCCCATCTTTCTCTCTCAACCCCCATTACCCCAACAGCCTGGATTAGGTCCCTAACATGGTACAGCACTCGCTGCAGTTTAATTCCCTGATATTTGTCTACAGTCTCCTCTAGACTATGCTTCTTGAGAATAAAAATCAACTTTACTTTTGTGGAATATCCAGAGCTTAGCATGCTACCTGGCACTTAGTCGATGTTCATTCCAAGTTTTTTAAATGAAAGTGGTCAAGTTTTTGTGTGTGTATGTGTGTTGCCACTGAGGGCTCAATCTCAAAAGAACCACAAAATACTGACACACTGAAGTTCCAGGCTCCAGAACAGGAGATAACTTCTAAGAGCAAGTCCTCTGGGTCTGGCACTAAGGTTCTTTTGAGCCATCACCACATGGATGCCTAATATACATTATTCCACTTAATATGTAGAACAACTCTGACACACAGAATACTATTTCCATTTTACAGAAGAGAAAACTAAATCTTGAAGGACACAAATAACACACCTAGGATCCCACAACAAGTAAGTGGCAGAAATAAGATTAGAACTGAAATATGTCTGAACTCTAAGCCTTGTCTTAAGCTATACCTCTGTATGCATGGATAGCAACTAGAGTAGGGCCAGCCTATATCTAAAATCTAGAATTCAAAACAGTGAGATGAACTAAACCTAAAGAGAGTATACATTACTATCTCCTGCTAAGCAAAGTTCCTTCAATAAATGGCAGCGATATGACTGGTAAAGGAGGAAACCACCAAATGTGATTCTAGGAAAAAGTAAAAAAATAATAATAATTTCTTTGTCAATAAAGTTTAAAGAACCAATGTGATTTGAAGCTTGTAAAAAAGAAAAAAGAAAGAAAGAAAAAAAAAAACAGCCAAACTGGTATGGTTTTAAAGCAGTGGTTTTTAACCGGTACGAGTTTCAAAATCTACCAGGTGATACTTTCTCAAAATGCATTAGCCTTCCCTTTTACCAGGTTAAAATTACTATATGTAATGAGATCATAAAGCATGTTGTTGATGGGGACATATTTCACAGGTGAATGAAACAATAAAAATAAGATTGAAAATTAGCATTTTGGAAATTGCCACCTGTTCAACAGGACTTGAGGTGAACCAATGACCCTATTTTATTCTAGACTATTCATCATAGTACAAAATTGTGTTCATTTACAATAAGTGCATAATATCATTCACGTTTTCAGGCAAGTCATTTAATCTGAGCATCATCATCTGTAAATCAAAGATAATACTTGCCATGTTTATTTCAAAGGAATGTGTACCTTGCACACTCTCAAGTGATATGCACTTTTAAAATTATTATTGTGTTATTGACTGTTGAGATGTTTCTGGCCTTTCAAAGGTTTTCTCTATATTTAAAAAAACTGATAAAATAACTATTATAGTGGTTAATTATTTGATCAATCAATACCTTCTATGACTGCCCTCAGGAAAATTTCATTCATGAAATAAAGAACTCTTGGGAAAGCTTCAAATTTAAAGTCCAACTGAAAAGGCAGAAGTCTACAGTCAATAGATATTCTCAACTTGTCTTGGCTCACATTGTTCTTCCTTTAGTTCTTCTAGATTGTGCTTTTATCATCATATATAGCATTTTGATACTATTCTGCATTTCTCTTTTCTTTTTCTTTCTTAAATGTATTTTGTCACTGGGGTACAGAGCTGGAATTCTTTACCTTCACTATATTTGCTATGTGGGCCATACTGAAAGTTGGGAAGGACATCATAAGCAGCAACCCTTTGGCACCAAGCACCCTGGTCCTGAATGGAGTTTTTAAATGCTGACAAATAATTGATCAATGTCAGGATCTATGAAAACTGCCCAAGACTTGTATCTTTAAATTAGAATGAAAAATCATGTTTGCACATATATTCTTCCTGTTCCATCCTGATAGTATGTGGATTAAGAGAAAAGCTGCAGCCCTGGCCGGTTTTGCTTAGCAGTTACAGTGTCCACCCTCAAACTGACCAAAGAGTCACGGTTCAATTCCTATCAAGGGCACGTGCCTTGGTTGCGGTTTGGTCCCCAGCCCTGGCCGGGGCCGTGTGGGAGGCAACCAATGGATGTGTGTGTGTGTGTCTGTCTGTCTCTCTCTCCCTCCCTTCCTTCCTCCCACTCTATCTGAAGATAAATGGAAAAATATCCTCAGGTGAGGTTTTTTTAAAAAAAGGAGAGAGAGAAGAAGCTGGATTAGGAGGGTAGTATGAAAGATATTGCAATGTGAATAAGGGGGCTTAACCAACATACACCTTTGAACCAAGCTACAGGTAACATATTGCTTATTTTCATGATGCTTAGAAAAATCCACACACATGTTAATGCAATGTCGGGGGGGTTACACATTCTAAAGCTCTAGACTCTCCATGGTATTCTCTGTAGATATGGGTTAGGTAGTCATGTTTTAGAAGAGAAACCATTGTTAAAAAAAAGGGGGGGGGAGGGGGCTGAGAGCATATAACATTTTGAAGAAATTTTGTAAGTCTGGACTTGATGGCATGTAGGGACAAAAGAAGATGAAATCAGAAAGAAGGCAGAGAATACTTCCCAAATGTGTTTTCCAAATGTGTTCTAAAGAACTCTGTGGCCTCTCTAATGTCACAAACATTAAATTAAAACGTCCGTTTTTAATAAAAATAGTAATAAAAATAACAAAATTGTTTCATACTGTACAAAAAGAAAACCACCAATGCACGAACTTGTGTTTCCAGGTTGTATTTGTTTGTTTGTTTGTTGAGGGGGGGAAGAGGACCGCAGATGAAAGTTTCTCTAGCTATCTCTGCTTAACTGAAGAATATACCATGAGACTAACAGACAAGCAGTTTAAAAAACAAAACAAACAGCATAAATTAAAAACACCCTGTAACCATTTGTATCTATTTTTCAGGAGTGAACCAAAGAAAATTTTGAATTCTCTCCCAACCCCCCAAAAAGGAAAAAACAGTAACAATAACAGTAGTACCAATAATAAAGTAGAAGCACTCTTATTTTTTATTTTTATTTTTTTTTTTTATCCTCACCCGAGGACATTTTTCGATATTTTGTTCAGATAGAGTGGGAGGAAGAGAGAGAGAGAGAGAAACATCGATGTGAAAGGGACTCATCGAGTGGTTGCCACCCACATGACCCAACCAGGGCCGGGGACAAACTGCAACTGAGGCACATGCCCTTAGCGGGAACCGAACCCGGGTCTCTCCAGACCGCAGGCCAACGCTCTAACCGCTGAGCCAAACCGGCCAGGGCGAAGCACTCTTATTTAAAGTGATTCAAACTGGTAGTTGAAATTGGCTAAAATAAGCAATCATTAAAAAATGTCTTAACTTAAAACATATAATTTACATTTGTTTACTAATCTTCTTTTATAAATCTAAAGCTTTTTGTTATTGTTTTTGTTAATTTGGCTCACTGGCTGGAGTCCCAAATCTTTCTGACATAAACACCTATAATGTATCACCTAGCTTTACCATACTTAAGACAGAACAATGTGACTCAGCCAGTGTGGCTCAGTTGGTTAACCATCGTCCCATGTGCCAGGAGGTAACCCATTAGATTCCTGGTTGCTGGCCTTACAGGAGGCAGCCAATCACTGATGTTTCTATCTCCCTCCATCTCTCCCTTCCTCTCTCTCTAAAAATCAATAAAAACATATTAAAAAAAAAAAAAAAAGAACAATCTGAGTGTAGAATCCTTCTCTTTTATAAATCTCACCAATCTTTTTTTTTTAACTTGTTTGCTTATATCTAATTCTACAGAATTTGTTTTTAACAACTCATCTTTATTGAGTTTCCCAAGCTTTCAAGTTTTCATAGAAACGACTTTCTTTTATACTCATATATTATTAGTTTACATAATATTTAATTTAATTACAATAATTACAAGTACAGTTGGTATAAATAGGACTCGAAATAAAGACAAATGATCCTGGTAAGGTAGAACTCAGAATTATGTGAACACATCAGAGAGCAGCCTAAATGCATTCTAAAGCCTATAGGTTGATAAAGCCACAGAACTGGTTAGCAGTAAATTGAGTAAGAGAATTTCTAATATGCAAAGAAATTGTTTTGCTAAGTTTGAGATAAATCTTCAGCTATTATCTATACCCCAATTCAAAGCAACGGCTTCATCAAAACAGCCTCATTATTTCATTAATTGATTTTATAGGTAACATTACATATATTAACATAAAATGACACTAATAAAATAGACAAAAGTGGACTTAATCAGTGTTGCACTTATAATTTTGTTTGGAAAACAGGCCCAGGTGTTAAAGCCATAGGACAGCCTCGAATGCAAATATACATGAATTTTGCCACAGCTATTTCCCTATACCCATTTTGATACAACTGTTTTGACAGTTGTTGTTTTTTTTTACCTCAGTGTCATTATTTTAATGAAACGAAACAAAACAAAAATATATTTAAGTCTCAGCTTTTAAAATCTGTATGCCATCTCTAGGATTTATCTGAGGTTAAGGTGAATTTGTCTATTTTGAAAAGTAAATGAATATTAAGTTGTTGACAAAAAAAGTTGTGGTGCAAGTCTAAGTGATCTGCTTTGATATATATAACACTAGCATCTGGCCTCTATCATGCAGACTACTGGGAGCAGCTGAAAGTTTTTAATCAGGTGAGTCATATAATCAGATCTGTGTTTTAAGACCACTTTTGTAGAAATGTGGTTAGATTAGAAGAGAAATTGGAGGTGGAAAGAACAACTTAAAAATTATCGCACTCCCATCTCTTGCCCAAAATAGGGTATCAGCAGTAGAAACACAAAAGAAAACAGATTTAAGACATATAGAAAGTGCTCAACACCTGGAGGATAACTGAATAAATCAGACAAAAACTCCTACTTCTCTAATTAGATGTTTAGCAAAAGATTAATTTGAATTAACTCCCTCCCCCACCAACACAAGCCATAAGAGTAAAAAGTTGTAAACACAAAAGTCTTAAAAAAGTTAGTTTGGTCAATAAAATAGATCATGGGTTCAGTTTCAAGATATCCAGTGTGTAGCTGAAAATATAACATCATGGTAGGCAGAGGCACTATCTCCACTCCCTCCATAATGAAGTAAAGATGTGATTAGTATTACCAAGGGGAGGGTTGTGATTATCCAGGGAAACCATACAGAGCACAAGCACCACTGAGGAAAAGCCTAGAGAAAGGGAAGATGGAAAAACAGGAGCCAGCTGGGATTAAAACTGACTGAAGTGGACATAAAGCAAAAGCAGAAGTGATCTGATTTGGCTCAAGTAAAGGGTCAACAGCTGAGAGGAAGGAATTTGGTAAAAGACCCACACTCTGTATATTAGTCTAAGAGGTTAAGAATTTTGTGGGCCAAAGATTTTCAGACATCTAAGGGACTGGGAGGCTCATATTCTAATTCTCACCATTTACTCCCAACCTCCAGGTGCTAACATTCTTTGTGTGGCACAATTTGAAAATCATTCCTATGGATAGTCATAGAAAATTCCTGAGTATAAATTAACATGAATAGGAATGGTATCAGGAAGCTCAATCAATTCATGACTTAGAAAAGAAAAAAAAAACACGAAACAAAACTTAGACTTTGGTAGTAACTATGGTGTCAAGAAGTGGAAATGACAACCTGAATTAAGATATGGAAGTTAGTATGAAAAAGCTGCTTGAGCCCGCCGGTGTGGCTCAGTGGCTGAGTGTTGACCCATGCACCAAGAGGTCACCGGTTCAATTCCTGGTTAGGGCACATGCCCAGGTTGTGGGCCCAATCCCCAGTGGGGGGCATGCAGGAGGCAGCCAATCAATGTCCTCTCTCATCGATGTTTTTCTCTCTCTCTCTGCTTCTCCCTTTCTCTAAAATCAATAAAGGAAAAAAATGTTTTAAAAAAGCTGCTTGAACAGGTCTTTGACAGTCTGAGGAGTCGGGCATTTTTTGGTAGGAAGTGAAGCCCTTTGGGAGTTTTTATTTGGAGGGAGTGACATGGAGGCACTGGTTTAATGATGGATTAATTTGGCAAAGGTAAAACGGATCGGATAGCAGGTAAGACTGGAAGTAGAGAGACAAGTAGGTGTGAAGTGATGAGAATCTGAAATTAAATTTCGTAGAGGCATTTCTTGCAACATTCCACTGTCTCTTCCATCCTGAGAACTTTTGCTGCATTATCAAAATTGATTACTGGCCCTGGCCGGTTTGGCTCAGCGGTTGGAGCGTTGGCCTGCGGACCAGAGAGTCCTGGGTTCGGTTCCCACTAGGGGCACGTACCAAAAAAACAAAAACAAAATTGATTACTGGGTATCGGCCCAGGAGTTTACATTTTTTACAAAGTACTCCAAGTGATTCTGATACAGGTGGCCCATGAGGCACCCTCAAATCTAAAGAAACCAAGTACGTAAGACATTCTTGCATCTCAAGTTATAAAATTTGGGAACATATATTCACTAAAATTCATTCTAGATATAAAGTTCTGCTTCTGTCTTTGTGGGTGTGTATAACTAAGGTAGGGGTAACAAATAAAAATTAACTTTCAGGTCTTTAGCCTGAATGACTGCTGGTGCTATTAGCACAAAAGGAAACATCTGACTTGTCTCATTCCAGTGGGGCAATGGGTACTAAATGTATTTGTTTCAAAACGGGGGGATATTTACAATTTGTTAATTAGTTACTAAATGTTTACAAAATCAAAATAAAATAAAATCTACAACTATCTAAAGAAATGTAGGGCTAAGCATAATTATCTGTGAGCTGAAACTATTAAATCAAAGAAACTATACACAGCAACAGGTTCAAGGGAAACAAATGGTTTAGAAGTATTTGCAAAATAATGGTGTCAAAATTATAGAGCAACGATTTGAACTACCCTACAACACTACAGTCTAATAAATCTTTTTTTACTGTTATTATGTACTTTTATTAATGTAGAAGCAGCGGATGAACATGTTAACAGGTTTTATGAAGCATCCGCAACTTCCTTAGTACTTTGCATAACGCATTTTACTTAATTCTCTGTAAGGGGAGTATCACTTCTACTATATAAATGAAGAAAGTTACACTCCAAAGATTCACAACTAGTTGAGTAGCCAGGTCTGAGCAAAACTGATTATTTTGATGGTTAAGATTTCCGGTCGCCCTTCTCCCTATCATCTCCACCCCATCTACCTGTGTCAATTTCCACAGGAGTCCTCCAAGTTCTTTCTACCATCCCAGAGAGGGCATGCACTTTCCCAGTAGCTCCATCAGCCCTAGTTCCCTGCGTTTCCCGGGCCAGAGCGCCAGGAACGGGAAGGATGGGAGGAGAGTAAAGGAGGAGGTGCGCCTCTCCTGGCCTGAAGCCTCAGAGCGTTGCCCTTTCCTGGCCCGGGTGCAGAGCAGAGCAGTGGAGCAGAAACCCGGCTCCCACCCTCCCCTCCCCGGGGACGGCCTCCTGGGCGCTAGAAAAGACGGAACCAGGCTGAGGCGAGGGCTCCAGGCTCGGCCTACATGAGGTTTCTGATAGCAATAAATAAAACTCCCTACAGCGGTCCTGCACCTTGCAAGTCCCCGGCACAGCCCAGAGGCCAGGGTAACTGTGGGACCAGGGAAAAAGCGGCAGCAACGTTTACCTCGTCCAGCTCGGGCCTGGCCTCTTCCGGCCTTTCGGGGTCTCCCATCGCGCAGACTCCGCCAGAGCTACAGGAGCTGAGGGAACCGAGCGCTTCAGGACACCTCCAACAACACTGGGTCCCAGGTGGCCCGTAGGGTTGCTGAGTCCGCCCGCCCCCTGCGGCAGAGACCCCTCCCACGCTGGCCGGCCCCGCCTCGCTCCACGGCACCGCCCCTGCTTTCTCTTCTCTCCAGTGAGCGACTCCCCCTGCGCAGGCCCAGTCCTGCGTTCCCTGACTCAGGGACCCGCCTACTCCGGTTGACCCCTCCCCACTGCCCCGGCCCCGCCTCCCGCCTGCTCAGTGAAGGACGCCCCCAGCGCCCGCCGGCCCCGCCTTCCCTGACTCTGGGTCCCGCCTACTCGTGCAGGTCGTGCCCCACCCCTTTTCGCCGGCCCCGCCCCCCGCCTGCCGGGCCAAGGAGCTCTCCCAGAGCCCGCCGGGCCTGGCTTCCCGGTTAGCGGCCTGAGGTAGTCGGCCGGCGGCAGGACCACACACAGGACGAGCTCAAGAGGAGAAAGCTCTATTCGTGGGCGAAGTGCTGGTGGGGGAAAGCCACACTCTTGTTTAAAAAACAAAACAAAACGCCGCGCCTCGTTGAGTTAAGGGGGAAGCAGAAGCTGCCTCGTGCTGTCTTGGGCGCCCGGAGAGCAGCGGTGGGGGACGTGTGCGTGGGCGGGGTCGGTGCGGCTCGAGGGGGGCGGCGGACTGCCATTCGGGAAATGCTTCGAAAGCTCTGAAGTTGCTCCAACAGGCTGAGCTTTTAGTACGGTTGCATTAAGTCATTTAATTGTCAGGACATCTCTGAGGTACCGATAGCAATGTCCCTCATGTTGTAGATAAAGAAACTCAGTTTTAGGCTAAAAGAGATGATCCACCTAAAAAGTAGTCGGCTGCCCTGTCTCCAGCCAAGGGCTCTTTTCAAGGCCCAAAGTTGAAGCTCTGGAGAGAGGAAACCCTCCCCTGTAGTAGCAAGCAGTAGGCAGTGCTCCTGATTGAGGACCACAATGATTTGGTTGAATTGCTAATACCCAATTACTAAAGGAATCGACAACAGAAAGGAAAAACAGTTTGATCTAACAAATAAAAATGAGGTGAACGGGATTTCTCTAGGTAGCTTGAAGATGAATATTGAGCCTTGAACATCATGCACCTGTTTTGTGGATCGCTGTGTGAAGTAGGGTAGATGGGATAGAAAATTCAGCTTTAAAGCTCTTTCTAAAACCTGCCCTAGAGTGGGGGGGTGAGAGTTATCCTTTTCCAAGGCAACTTATAGCGGTCAAGTTTGGTATAAATTGTTTTACATATATTAACTTTAAATAATAGATTCTATGAGAAAACTGGGTTTTAAAGAAGTGAGATCATTTATCATAGGCCACATGGCAAATACTGAGCTAAAACTATCATTTAATGAAAGTCATCAAACAGTATGTTTACTGTGTCAGATAACATACTCAGTATTGAAGGTACAAAAATGAATGAGCTTAGTGGAAAAGAATGTGGATCCTAGAATCATATCAGGGCATGAATTCTATCTCCCCTGTTTGTTAGCTGTGCTACCTTGGACAAGTTACTTAGCCTCTCCTTTGTAAGATAAGAATAATAAGAATTATGCCCTGGCCAGTGTGTTTCAGTTGTCTGCAATACAGACAAGCACAGTGGCAGAACCCAAGGTCCCTTCCAAAGGTGGAAAAGTTTGGGTATAAATGGAGAGAAAGAAAAATAGTAGCTATGGGTAAAGGAATGAATAAATGGGTTGTGTAATTAGGGAAATTTCATATTACATTAACATGTTGAAAGAGACTCAGAGCAAGGGATGAGAGTTCCTTGCTTGATTATACCAGATGCAGAGTGAAGTCACATATCACTGATAACTCTCCTGCTTTTGGAACCTGACACAACCCAATGGAAGCCTGCAAAACTGAGTGGCCTTGCCCTGGGAGACATTTCCATGTGATATGATGACGGACTAGATAGCTATCGACTGAATGGGATTTTACTAATGTGCCATTCATTATCTTTTGACCTTTATGCTTGTTTTGCTGTAAGGTAAAGAATTTGTGTTCAAAGACCAGAGGGTAGACTGTGATATTATGATATGAGTATGTATTTGGTTTTTGTCCCTGTTTCTGGCACAGAGCTTCTAAAACCCTTGGAATTTCCTAAGTGAAAACGATAAAGGTGTTCTGTTAATGAGGTGACTTTTGGAGTGCACCTAAGGATAGGGGCTGGTTGCCAAGGATGCCAGGAGTTGGAAATTTAAGGCTTCCCCACCCGACTGCCAGGGAGGGGAGAGGGGATGGAAATTGAATGAGTTACCAATGGACAGTGACTTCATCAATTATGTAGTGAAGCCTCCATAAAAACCCAAAAGGACAGGGTTTGGAGAGCTTCCAGGTTGGTGAACATGTGGAGATTCAGGGCAAGTGGCATGCTTGGACAGAACATGGAAGCTCCTCATCCTTTCCCTATGCATATCATTCACTCATCTGGCTGTTCTAAGTTATATCCTTTTGTAACAAACTGGTGATCTAATAAGTAAAATGTTTCTGAGTTCTGTGAGCCTCTCTAGCAAATTAATCAAACCCAGGGAAGGAGTCATGGGAAGTGCTGATGTGTAGCTGGTCAGTCAGATGTACAGGTAATAATCTAGGCTTGCAGTTGGCATCTGGAGAGTTATCTTATGAGATGGAGCCCTTTAGCTGTGGAAACTGATACTATCTCCAGGTACACAGTGTCAGAATTGAGTTGAATTGTAGGACACCCAGCTAATGTCACAGCATTTCTTAACGTTGTGGAGGACCACCACCCACCCATACCCACACCCAGATTTTATAATTGGGTGATCAAAACCTTCAATGATCAACTCACTTGTTTATCATCATACCTCCCACAAAATAGTATAGAGCCCAGTGTTTAAGAATACAAGCTCCAGATGCCTGGAGACGTACCTCACTTCACACTTATTAGTTGTGTAACCTTGAGCAAGATGTTTAACCTGTGTCTATTTTCCTATCTGAGGATAGTAATAAGTTTTATCTCATAGGATAAAATGAAATATAATACATATAAAGCACCTGACAAAGTGCTTGGCACATAATAAGTACTAACAAAAGTTAGTAATGAAGAGAAACATCATGTTATGGTCATAATCCAGTAATATATTTTTTTAATTTTAAGAAGTAAACCCTGGTCCGGTCAGTGTGGCTCAGTGGTTGAGCATCAACCCATGCACCAAGAGGTTGCCGGTTCGATTCCCGGTCAGGACACATGCCCATGTTGTGGGCCTGATCCCCAGTGGGGGACATGTAGGAGGCGGCCAGTTGATGTTCTCTCTCATCGATGTTTCAGTTTCTCTCTCCCTCTCACTTCCTCTCTCTGCAAAATCAATAAAGGACAAAAAAAAAAAAAGAGTAAGCCCTGGCTGGTTTCGCTCAGCGGTTAGAGCATTGGCCCGTGGACTGGGTAGTTCCGCGTTGGATTCCCACTAAGGGCAAATACCTCAGTTGCAGTTCATTCCCAGCACCGGTTGGGGTTGTGTGGGTGGCAACCAATCAATGTGTCTCTCTCATGTCAATGTTTCTCTCTCTCCCTTCCTCCCACTCTCCCTCCCCCTTCTATCTGAAGATAAATGCAAAAAAATATCCTCTGGTGAGAATACAAAAAAGTAAGATACTTTCCTTATATTTCATCTAAAGTATCTTGACATGAATAAAGTCACAGTTTAAATGAATGTGTACATTAATCAAATGATGTTTAGAGAAGAATTAATCTGCTGTCTCTCAGCCTGCCGGGATCGGTGCAACGCAATGAACCTACAACCATACGCTGGTTGGAGTGAGAGGGAGCTTTGCAAAAGAGCAAATGTTCCAGATCGCTGGATGCAATCCCATTTATTTGCAGATTGATACCCCCAGGTCACAAGTGGATTTATGTAAATTATTTGAAATGGCATTACTGCAAACCATACATCCTAGCTTTGTCTCTTGCTTTTTACGGGAAGAGACCTTGAGGCCAAAAGACAACAAACCCTTATTCACATGCAAATGAAGCACCCAATGCACCTGGGTGGGCCAGGTTTCCCCCCTCGGCCAGGATTTCAAGAATGCATTAACACAACCCCCCAACCCCATATCTCCCCCCTTTTTGTTTTCTTGAAATTGTGAGATTGCCACTGCTGCAGTGGTCAGGAGCGACATCAGTTGTTTTTCAGTCTTCTGCAAGTGAATGGACAGCTTTCTGGGCAGACTACAGGGCCTTCAAGAACTGTAAGAGAGTTAGGGGGAGCAGAGTGGTCCAGTTTTTACTGGTTTCTGAAGTAAATTTGGTTAAGGTTTCCTTTAAGGTCCTGTCTTGAACTTGCATAAACCCTCTGAGACTTTCCTAGTGCTTTCCCTGACATAAACCTGAGTGCTTGCTCAATCTATCTGCTGTCTGCACACAGCCCAGTTTTCCTTCTCTTTCTCCCTACTCAGACCCACACATTCCTGTTTCTCTCAGCCTTCTCCCTTTCCCAGTGACTTTACTGGACATAACCTGTCTCTCGGGAGTTTAGTAAGCTTGGAGTAACCTAAGTGGGTAGTCTGGTGCAACTGGTTGACTAAAGTCTGACCTAAAGCCTCTGGGATTAACAACCTCCCATCAGGCAGTGTCCATCACCCATTGATTCTTGGGTGGCTTGCTTTTGTTTAGCCAGGTCATTTTCTAACCTAGTGTATCTGGAGAGGCCCCATGGTTTTAGGGCTGCCTCCCTAGCTTTCTGGTCTGTAGTAGATTTTCCTTGCCCCATCGGAGAGCCTGGATTAGGGCTCTGAGTTCAGGCCATTGGGCTGAAGTTCCCCTACTTAATGACTGAGAGTAAGTGACACGGTCCAGAGTTATTGCTGCTGCCTCAGCATACCTGATTTCTTCCTGGACATAGCTGCTCCCATCCATGAACAATACCTCTTCTGATGACGGCAGTGGAACATCCTTAAGGTCTGGGCAGGCTCTCTGCACTCTGTCGACTACCTCCAGGTAGTCCTGTAGAGGTTTCTCCGGGTCATCATGCAGGAGGCAGACTAGCAGGATTGATGGCCAACGTCTTGTAGAACATTATGTGGGGCTGGCCTG